TACGCTAAGCCGATTTTTGTGAACAGAACTCCTCCCTCATTTCTTGACCGATTTTGATGATTAAAGTGTCAAAAGAATTGCCCTGATCTGTAGTTTTGCAAAGTGTTTTTCGTTTTTTGATATCTTTATTAGTTTGGGCAGGATCTTCCATCAAAGTTGGGTTTTCTCCCATAAGATTAACATGGTGGAATCAAAATATTTAATTGGAAACTTTGCCTCCTCTAATTTGAGAGAACGGATGGGCGTAGAAACTTGGTAGAGGTGTCCAAAGAAAGGTCTTGGTCTGTAGATGAGTTATCAAAAGAAAAACTAAGTAAATTAGCTTAGGGCTCTGCCCCAGAAGCCGTTAAAGATCCCTCCACAGATTTGTTTACATTTTGGTCAGATGGATAATACTTTTTAATAAAACAGCTGGTAATTTTAAAATTGTCTTTTAAACAACACACATTTATTGGGAGTTACTGAGTTGTCCAAAAGAAGTATTTGCAATGTTATTTTCTTATTTTAAAATTGATTTTCTTTTGTATCATGTCATGTTTTGCAATATAAAGTTCTTTTATGAAATCAGTGGAAAATCCTTTTATCACAATAACTCTTACAATTATTTTTTATTGATCATCTTATATCTATTTTACGAGTTGGTGTCTGCCTTTTTAACACCTTATTTTCCCTATATTTTATCATATTATTCTAGACAGATCATCATAGGTTCATAAGATTAATGTCATACATGCTTTCAATCATTGGAAAAATCTTCGATTGTGTAATACAATACAAAATAATACAAGTGCAGAAGGGCACGGTGCCCATTTGAGCCGTGTCCATATTTTGTTAATTTAATAGTGGTTAACAGCAACTGGATAAAACATTTTACAATATTTATGTAGAAATATGTGCATTATTTAGAAAGTCATTAAGCTGGAAAAGTGCAATATACTGCAGATAGGTTCAGATAGGTTTTCAGATAGGTTACTTCGATGTATTCATTCAGCTTAGTGAAAACATAATATATATATGTATAGAAATAAGAACTTGAACCCTTAGAGAGCCTTTGAATGTTATTAGACTAACGAAAAGGTTTGTACATGTTTACTAGCGCTACTCTGCAACAAAAACCATTTAATTGATCTCTAAAACACATATTCTTAAAGTACACTGAGCAGCAGCCTAAAAAATCTATGTAACTTACCCATATAATATAGTTACAAAATTCTCAAACTCGCATTGTGACATTTTTATAATTCGGCTTATATTTCTCCAACATAAAATTCATTTGCAGAAGAATCTTATTGTGCTCTTGCCGTTTCTAATAACATCCAAACACAGAAACCTTGCCTAAAATGGTACCTATCTTGACAAATTATTTACAGTGGCCTATATTACGGACCATGGCCCACTGGGTTGGTAACATTATTGAAAATAACACGACATTTTGGCTATAAAAATGGCCCAATGAGTAAATACTATCGAAGCAGCTATTGTCATGACACTGACAGAAAGATCATATTCCTTTTAAACTAGATCACATCATCATTTATAAGATAAGTTGATTAACAATGCATGTAAACATCAATATTTACGTAACAGCCAATTTACATTATTTTTAGCATATAAATGAGGAGGCCCCTAACAGTTCAAGAATAAAAGCCAACATCACTTCAAGTATATTCAACTACACCTAACATTCCGTAGAGAGATTATATTGACAACTTGATGTAACTGATAAGGCTGAGACAACTTACTGACATCCCCCATGTCAAGGAATGGCAGCTTAAACAGTAACCCCACAACCAATTTCTTAAAACTGTGCTAGAGGGTTATTCATTGGCACAGAAGTACGATATGAACTGACGCGACGTGACGAAGGAAAAATCAAACTTGCACTGTAATGGATGTACCTCCCTTTGAAGTTAGAACGTGTCTTCATAACAAACAAATTATTTTAAAATAAAATCATAGATTAATTCGCATAACACTGATGAAATCACGGGAGTGTTTAACTACAAAATATCCACCAATACGATTTTAATACTAGGTATTTAAAGGTTCTTCCAAAGGAAGAGATACCAGATAGCATACTCACAACTCCGATGACGTACAGTATGGGAAATATTTGATTCGTGGAATGATCAACAATATTTACTAACTAACGCAATCAATGGCATTATTGTTTTTACACTTATTAATATTCAAACAATGCTAAATGCTCAAAATATGTGTAATTTCACTCAATTTATCGCAGTTAGATTAGTTAGCGTAAGCCTTTAAAGTAACCGTCGATTTCGACGGGTTTCACCTAGTATGAATAAATTACATCTTTAACAGATTTGAATTAAGTTTTTGGAACTTTCCCCATAATTATTAAGCATAAAATAGGTTGCTTCAATAGCCTAAATGCATACTAAATTATTCTTTTAAGCTCTACATAATGGTTTAGAAATAAATTGCAAATTGTTATGCCCATCGTCCGATGAAGGTGGTTCACCAACTCATTTGAATAGATATGGATAAGTTATAGCCTACGATTATGCTCAATTGCATCCTAGTCTCTAAGTATGATTTTAGAAACAAAATACTTAATACTACTTTCTTAATTTATTTTTCATTTTTAATATTAGTTTAAGCAAACTTTACTAGTGATATTTGTGATGGGTTAGCTAGCACAATGCCAACATTTATGGACCATATCTGTTGTTTAAAAACTAAAATTCTAACATTGGTGATGAACATATTAGTAATGTAATAACGCTAGGTAATCAACAAACAAATAATTAGTAGGCGAACAAGGTAGGAATCTTAATAAGCTACACAAAAAACAAAAATGAAATTTCTAAACAAATTAATGAGGTCTCGCCAACAAACAAATAACTAGCAGGTAAAAAAGCTAGTAATCATAATAAGCTAAAAAAAAAGAAAATGAAATTTGTTTTCCTAAACAAATTAATGAGGACTCTATTTTTTTAGATTTGTACACTATAAAAATCTAACAGATAATTTCCCCAATATTAATTGGATTATTTAATCATATAATCCTTTCCATAAATTAGAAAGGTGATTTTTCAGACAAGTTATAGTCCACTAAACAGATTTTTCACTCTGTTTGGTATGAAAGTAATCTTAAGTAGGCATGCAATCTTGTTTTATAAAGAGAATGAACAAAAATTACTGTTATAGCAGTAAGTTAAATCATCTATCAAATGAGGATTAGAATATATATTTTTTTACCCAAAATTAGAATTCCCTTTAAGATTGTGATAGGTTATTTATCAACAAAGTGTTATCTGAGGACATCCTGGACTACTTTTACTGACTAACCAGCTGATGGTGCATTTAGTTGCTGAACTGTCGACACATCAACAGATTCCAAGTATTACACACTCGGTTACTGTACAGACAACATTGTGCCATCGTGGATATTAAGCAGAATTTGGATATACCAACTGAATAATGTAATATAGTCTATTGTTTGTATATAGGGGTACTTTAGATCACAAAAAACTTTACCAATTTTCATTGTATTTTTTGTGAAGATTAATTTTGTGGAAATTATCTTTGAGTTCTGACTTAATTTGGCTAATTTAGAACCTAGAAAACTGTAAATTCAAAGTAATAGAAAGAAATGTCCAGGAAAGTGATTTTTCCTTTAAAAACTCATAATTACTCCACCGTTTATCCACAACAATTTTATGTCAAGTCAATGAGAGGAAGTATGTGTCAGTTTGTTAGTTGCTCATGTTAAGGTACATAACCAGATAAGTACAATAATATTGAGTGGGACCTGTAGTCCTTGAGGTTGATTGGTGGTGACTCATGAGCACACACTCACACACAACACGACATCACACTACGACTCACTCCACATTCAGACCGTGTTTGAAGTGTTACTAACGTACGAGTTATTGTTTGATAACTCTTAATTGATGCATTTGAGTGGAGAACCGAATGAAAGTAAATAAATAAATATACAATTTCTCATTAGTCAATTAAGTAAAGTAATTAAGTCACTTATTGTACGTATCGATTTAGCTTAAATCATTTCCATTCACCACTAGAAACCTTCTTTTACATAAATTTACTTTGTTTAAACACAACACAAGCATACAAGAAAAATAAACAAGATCTTCTAAAGTACCGGTACTAGACATTTAGTTGAGAATTTTTCAATTTTAGCATTCTAAGGTCATATTATTACAACTTTATTTAGGTTATTGAATTGAATTGAATTTGAATTGAAAATTACTTTATTCATCAATCATACAAGTATGTACATTGAATGGTGTCAACATTCTTAAACAACTTGAACTTACAATTACTTACTTACAACAACTTATTTATTATGGATGGGTTAAGATTAGGGTGTTTTTTTGGTGACAGTTTTTAGGCAAACTTGGTATATAATGAAACATCAAAAAACAAATTTAAAGAGTCAGGTATTTAACAGTAAATGCACAGTATATCTTAGATAGGCCTAAATCTATTATCACAACAAAACTATTTAGAAAAATCTTACTTAAATAGCCACTCACCAGATGTAAAATGCATAATTCTAGTGCAATATGAATTATCTTTGCATTAAAAACCATCTTATATAGGACAATTCTAAAATCATTTACCAGGTTACATAATAAATGAAGAAAATATAACTAAATTTATAAAGCAATTAAATAATTGTTTGGTAGAAAAATCCTTTTCTTTTAATGACTTCTTTTCCATCCCCCCCGGTGAGACTTAAAAAGTTTATTTCTACTAGGTATGCTCAGGTCTGCTAATTGAGCCGAGCGAAACAAAGATGTAAACAAATCATATTACTGTATTTCTAATATACAATTTTTTATAACTATCATAGATTATGACATAACAAATTAATTGAACTTTTAACAACCATACAATAGGCTACTTTATCATTTTATGTTCATGTTGTATAATATGTGACATAAATGTTTAATGTCATAAATGTATATAATATGTTGCATGAAATCAAACAAAAATATTTGTTTCAGGGGTGATTCTGCACCAAACCTTCCAGTCGACATGCGACCTCTTCCGAAAGAGCCAGACGCTGACGAGAGAAAGAAGAAGACAACGAAGAACAAAACAAGAACGAAAAGAGAAACAGAGAAGCCTAACATTTCCTATCCGACTAATTTTGAACACACAGTCCACGTTGGATTTGACGCTGTGACCGGCGAGTTCACGGTGAGTTAAGTTGTGACGAGTTTGCTCGCTTTGCTTGTCGTGTTACTCTGTGGGAACGTGCAACTTTGTCGTCTGTAGGTCAAGTAGTATCCAACAATGACTCCCTGCGTAATTCCTTTGGCGTAATATTTAGCATCCTTTTGATCTTCCTCATAGAGAACGTGTTTAACCAAATACAGTGTTTTTATGTTCAATGGGTTTTATTGGTCTTAAACCCAATGCTTAAAAAAAACTTCTAATTTTAATATGGTATTTTTTTATTGAAATTATCAAACTCAAATTTATTGCTGTGGTGATGTTATCGTCACATCAATTACTAAATTCATATTTACTCCAAGTTGTGCTATTGCTATTACAATAGGAAATAGTGATCAACAAACTATCCTTAGGCTTACAATAAATAGCAAGCTAAATTTAAAACAATTGTCAAGTTGTAATTTCATTTGCCTTGGACCTTCAATTGCACCCAGTCATTATAAAACCAAATTTACCTTACCTACACCAGTGTGATGTTTGTTCCTGATCAAATATTTTTTTTCTTTGTTGTCATATCCATCAAACCTTGTTTTCAAAAATAGGACATGTATTAGCTATATTTTTTCAAAATGTAATTTAATTATTACATTGATCTAATAGAATTTTATAGATTAAAATATATTTTTACGTAGTATATATTCTATGTGAAACAAAATAATACAAATTACACCCAGCTTCTTAAAAATGTAAAAATCTCATCCAGCAGTACAATTACTGAGAAACCCTTGACAAATAAAGGCATTTTTATTATTCATTATTATTATTTATTATTTTATCATTTATTTATTATTATTTATTTTTATTTATTATTTATTACTGTTGGCCGTTTATAAACACAGATGTTTTAACCCTTTGAGGTCAAATTTTTTAAATATTTTTCGGCAATTATAGGTCGCCATTCGAGCAGTCGGGGAAATGGCGCCCGGCGACCTATACTCGCCACTTGACCGCAAAGATAAACTTTTTTGATTTTTTTTTGTGAGTATAGGTCGCCATTTTCGAGCAGTCGGGAAAATGGCAGGTGGCGACATATACTCGCCATCAACTGCAAAGGGTTAAGGAAAAGGGTTGACTGCCAGAGATCATCAGATTTAGTTATGTGGGTCATCAGTTGCACATTTCCACCCTGCTTAAAGCTTGCCTCAGATACACTTGTCAATTTTTGGTTTTTCTTTTTTGTTTCAAGCTGCCTCTCAAAGTAAGTAAAGCGCATGAAATTATATTTCTACTATTGCTCATTTGTTGTCTCTTTTATTCTGTATGCATACTGGAGTTAGTTTAGCAAATTTGAATTAGATTTAGATAAAAAAAATGCACAGCTTAAGTATTTGCTTTAAATTGTAGCTTTTCACAATTTCTAGTCAAAGTTTTGAGTTTTTCTCTTTAAATCTGAACTTTTAGAAGCAGTAAAATGGCAATAGCACCTGTAAGTTTCGTAATACGAGTAGATCATCAAATTAAGTTGATGTCAATAAGTTTAAACCTTTACTGGTAAAAACGTACATATAGACACAATACTACTACGAGTGTTCAAAGTATAATTAAGTAAAATATTCATGTTGGTATATAAAATTGTTATGTTACAGCAACTCAATAGTAACAATTTGACACATATATTGGCAATCACCATGAAAAGCTAACTCTAGGCTTTTAATTATTAACAGGGAAGTAATCAATTAATACAAAGCACAAGCAACATATTAAGAAATATGTAAGAACAAAGCTAAAGATGCTTAGTTGTTCAAAGCTAAAGATGCTTAGGTGTTCAAAGCTAAATTAAAAAAAAAACTCAATCATAATAGTTGAATGATTCTAACATGAATCTCAACACTAGATGCACAAAACTGCTAGCAGAAAAGTTAACAAAATGTTTATTTATAATTAATTCAATATTGTTTTTTTCTATCATTTTTAAAGTATTAAAATATTTGCATTGATTCTTTGAACAATATTTATTGTATAAGTAGTTCTTTAATTTGTCTTTTGTTATTTTGCCTTTATTTTATCTTTATTTTGAGTGCAAGTTTTGATCATTAAATTTTATAAAAAAACCTAGGATTAAAATAATTGAATTTTTATTTAATTCCTTGCTGGTTTATACATTTTTTGGCGGTAAAAAATGTAGCCTATTTAATTTATTTTTTAATAGTGCTGTTGTAGGACTGCCTTGTAGGCTACCTACAAGTATATTTTATTTCTGTTGTTACATATTCGTTAGCAGTTGTCTAAGTTTCACTTTGTTTAACATTGTTATCATTTTTCGTGCTGTCCGACCTTCCCAGTTATCTGGCCTTGTCCAGTTTAGGTAACGATGACACTTCTGTAGTGGCTTTGGCTCTCACAAATGTTATTTACCACTTTAAAACTAAAATAATAAACCTGAACCCATGCATACTTTCAGTTAGTTTAAAACTTAACTATTACAAAATTTTTTTTTAAATATTTGTTCTAATATTGGCCATTGGGTCAAAAAATATTCAAATTTTTGGTTTTAGCTTGTTTGAATATTATTGTAAATATTGGATAAAGTTATGTTTTAAAAATACCTTAGTTGCTTCGGGTATGTGGCTTACTGTAATTAAAACTGTTTGTAAATCAAAGACAACACTGACTGTGTGTTGTGTGTTTTTAATTGTACAAGCAACAAGCATCAAGCATGCCAGCTAGTCACACCTTTGAAAAATGCTTGTTCAATTTAAAACACGTCAAAAATCCGAGAAATTTTACAAATTTTAGAAGTAGTGCGTTTTTTGAAGATGAAGGAGTGCGATTTTCTAAGAGTGTTTTGTGGAAAATTTAATTCCTGACCATGAAAATTCTATAAAAACTTTGCTAGCTCTCACGGTTTTCGAGCTATAGCGGTTCAAAAAAATATGTTTTTCTCAAAAAAGGGGGAAAGTTCAAACTTTGAACTGCCATAACTTTTGATAGAATTGACGTATAGACCTCTAGTTTGCTCCATTCTTTTTCTTTTTTCATGCCCTTTCATTTGATTTGGTACCTTGAAATTTAAAAGTTTGATGTTAAAGGTAGGGGGAGAAAGGGGGTGAATGTGAACTTAACGTTGAATTCACAAAATCTACTTCAATATGTTCCCCGCAAACTTCATATTTCTATCAATTGCAGTTTTTTTTACATAAATAAAGAAGCAAGTTAAAAAAAAACACCCTGTATAGGAGAGTACAGCCTTGCACAAACTTTGTTTCACTTGTTCTAGAATATGTTGAAAGATATCTTACTAATAACATAAAAAGTAAATTTATACCTCTATTAATTTCCAGATTTGTTTGATAGGCTATCATAATCCCTCTCATCTCTATAAATCTTCACACTTCTCTGTTATATCCTTTTCTCACCCGTCCTACTCAATCGATTTATATAATTGAGGTGGTATTTTAAAGCTTAAATGTGCCTCCAGTGGAGTGAATAATGGCAATTAAAAATACCTTTAGGCCTTCGCCCCTAGCCTATGTTTTTTTTTTTTTTTGAGAGTGCTTTTAAAAATCCATTGTTGCTAGCTGAACGGCAGTTTACCTTCTTGGTTGTTAATAAACAGTCAGATTGTAAACAAGAGACAAAAACAGTCTATGAAAATGAATGCTAAATAGGCTACTTTTTTTTATCATTGACGCATCATTAAGGTACATAAATTATAGGTCTACTCTTTGTAATAGGCATTATTGTCTGAGACTAACATTCAAATATTTTAAAATTCTTACACAGTATTTTTTCTTAAATTTTAATTTTTTCAGCAAGTTTTCTTTGAAAGGTAAATGGTTCTGCATGATTCGTTATGCTTTAAAAACTAATTTTGATCCTATTAAAATGTGCAATTTCAGACGCGTCACCCTCTTTATAATTAATTTTAGGTTAACTTCTAAATATTTGAAACATTCAATTATAATTTTGGTTCTTTCGGATTATGCAGAGCACTGTAGTCTAGACCTTGAATATTTAAAAATTGCATTACAAATAAGGACTTAATAAAACAAAGATGTATCTCTAGCTTTTCAATAAGAATTTTGTTTTATTCAGATGAAATCAGAAATGTTGGTGAGTACATACATGTTTACTATTGAATGTCTGTTATACAATTGTATTCAATCAGTTTATCTAAACTTTGCAGTTTGCATTAAATGTCATTCAAATAGATTTATGTTAATGGTTCATGCACAAATAAATACTCAAAGATTTTACTGTTTGAATAATCATCAACACTATAGATTTCTGACTGTCTTTCTTGAATGTAATACTTGTTTCTTAATTTGACAATACATTGATTATGACATAGTATAATCATTACTTTACTACTTTATAATCTTCTTTTACTTACTTTACTACTCTCATTTTGCTTTGGCACCTTATACATGTTCTATGCACTAAGAATGGTTTCCACTGTTATAATCTATTTGCTTTAAATTTTGCTACATTGCTTGCTAAAGTTAAATCTTTATGTAAACAATAATGTCTTGTTAATGTATGTGATTGTTTGTACCTGCTGTATGTTTAATGTAAGAGCATATTGTGTGGCTTCATAGAATCTTTATTAAGAGTCCTTGGAGCCTAGACATTCTAACTCGTAAAACAATTAAAGAACTACAAAGAAAATTTCTAATCCCTCAGTATACTAGATATTGAAATTACAATCACTCTAAAAATATTTTGAGATGGTAAATAACTCTTCAGCGGCTGCTTGAAATTAACAAAATTAACATTGCTCTTATGGTGGGCAAATCCAAGATGGCCGTAGCTGCCATGGACTCCCTTGGAGAACAATTCAAAGCTACAAAGAACATTTATAATCTCATAGTATACTAGATATTTAAATTATAATCACTTTGGTGTTTGAATAAATATTTTTGGATGGTAAATAAATCTTCAGCAGCTGCTATCCAAGATGGCCGCTAGCCTCCAATGACTCTTAATTGTAAGAGTTTCAAACAAATTTTTATCTTATAACTAAAATAACCAACCAGGTGTTGGGTTGTAATGGGATAGCTATTGGACCTTTGTATTTCTATTTTTAAAGTTCTCAATATAATATTTTCTTTGAAGTGTCTTGTTTTTTGACTAAAATAAATTAGACCATCTTATAATAAATTGGAATTAATTATGACAACCATAATAGTGAAGGTGTTTATTTTGTGATATGAAATTCTTTTGTGAGCGAAAAGATACATGTTATCAGCTGTTTTATATTTACCAAATTTTCAACCAAATTAATTCTGAAAAAATGTCAACTCTCAATGTAGTTTTTACATTTAAACCTCAAAACGTTTATAATATATTATTTAAATTTTAAAATTCAGACTCAAGATATCTTGATTCTATGAGGCCAAGGTGCAGATCTGTAGAAATCATTCAATTCCACCCAAGGTAACCAGTGGGTTTATAGCCATGACATGCAACTAGGGGAATGTCTAGACGCCTATCTAGAGCTTATAAATCAAATATGTACTCTAATAGTAGACATATCTGGTACAAACAACATTTAAAATATGCAGGTTGAAATGAATTAGAATAGAAGGAGGGAAAACACATGTCTAGAATTAGGATGAGCTTTGATTATGATTGCAATTTCTGTACGTACTTACATAAATGTATATTTGCTAGTACGCAGGTTATGCAAATAACTCCCAATCACAATGCAAAATATTAAAATCAACAACTTGTAAAAATTGCTAAAAAATCTTAAAATAATACGAGCTGTTGGCCCGTCCTACGTACGGGAATCGAGTGGTCTATTAAAACTGTATATAGTGTGTCTATTACTAATTCAGGCATAGTTTAAGCAGTTCAAAATTGATAGTAAAGAGAAAGCTTAAAACAAGATGAGTTAAAACATGTGATCATTGTTATTTCCCCAACCTTTCCTCAAAAAGTCGAATAGTAAAATAATTTTCATTAGCTTTCTTTTGTAGACTCGTGAGCTTCGATTCGTATACAGCAATGGTTATAGAATCATACTTATTTCCTATAATCAATGACAAAATCACAGAGTAAACTAACCTCATAGTTCTATAGAATATTTTTGATTCAACCAGCTGTTAAATGTAACTAATTATATTTCACTAAAACAAACTAAATACTGTACTTTAAAGACTGCTCAAAAAAATAAATTAGAACATCTATTTTTTTTACTATCTATATTTAAATAAACTCTCATCCTCTTACCGATTAAATAAACGTATCAATGGTTATAGCATTACACATAGTATTAACAAGTCAATGCTACGTGTGTCATTTCATTTTTATCCAAAAGCTGAATTTTTGTTCAAAAACGCGGAATGTTTACAGCTGTTATACCATAAGCTAGAGTAGAATGTTAGCGTCGGCTGCTAGCCTTTTTAAAATTTAAAACTTAATTTCCAAAAAACTGAAACCCTAAACTAAAATTATGGCTTCGACATTCCCTAGTTCTCAAAATGGGTCGCCGGAATTTTATCCCCCTGGAATTTTACCCCCTAGGCAAAGCTGACGTCACTATGATGTAGTAACCTGAGTGGCCAAAAGTTTGTTAGCGGCCAGAATTTTACCCCCGCGGATATGGAAGTCTAATGAAAATAGCCAGAGCGTGATTAATTAGATTAGCGATAAAAACCGGAATCTTACCCCCCCCCTGTCCATATAACTAGCGTTTAGACAACTGAAGATGTACGGGCCGGATTTTTACCCCCGGATTTTTACCCCCCGGAATTTTACCCCTGGATTTTTGCCCCCCATAATTTTACCCCCCCCCCCGAATTTTACCCCCTGGCCGATTTTACAAATTGACTGATTGATTTTCTTGTTTCTGTTTTTAATTAATTATAAACATTTCATTATTTAGTTGCCTATCTTTATTTATTTATTTTGTAATCTTAACTAAGTCAACAGAATTTGCTGTTTAATTTTGATTCTCGGGATTTGCGTTTGGGGCCAACTGTTGGTTAATAAGTATGTAAAATAAACTGAGTAACTCATTTAAATAATAATTGGGTGAACATTTCTTCATAAAACAAACAATAAGGCATATTTTGTTATTGTTACAATACGAACGAAAAACATTGTTTTACCACGGTTGTATAATAAATCGTTAAAGAAATCTTCGAGTCAATTACCATTCTGATGTTTGTTTATACGTGATATTGATATTAATCAACAGTTGGCTTCAAAGATCAAATCCTGATACTCGAATCACAAAATGAAAATAAAAAACCTGTTCGATTAGTTGATATTACAAATAAATTAAGATAGGCTACTTAATAATAAAATGTTTACTATTAAATTAAAACAGAATGAAGATAATTAATCATTCTCACTAATTTATATATCTGGCCAGGGGGTAAAAATCCAGGGGGTAAAATTCCGGGGGTAAAAATCCGGGCCGTACATTCTAGGTTTTTATAATTTGATGTGTTCTGATAAATTCACAACCGTGAAAATATATGTTGAATTCCACGTTTAATCCATCGAGCTGATGTCGCGAAACTCAAAAGTTCGCGGCCGGAATTTTTCCCCCCTGGTTTGTGACGTCACGTTTACCCAGGGGGTAAAATTCCAGGGAGATAAAAATCCGCTACCCCCTCAAAATTATCTTTCTTTCAACACAAAAATCATGAAAATCCGTCAAGTGGTTGATTCAGAATCGTGAAATAAAAAAACCCTATCACGTTTTAATATATAGATACTATATCAAATAAGTTGCACATCTTCATCACCAAACTGGCCATCAAATGAAAACCTAGAAAATTCTTATATACCCCCAAGACCCCCCCCCCCCCCCAATTAAGGTGTATAAAATTGATTACGGAAAAAATGCTTAACTTTCAAGGATAAAATAAAACTATTTCCCACTAAATCGACCCCAAGGAATAACGTATATATTTTTAACTTTTTTCCAATGCAGGGCTAGCCAAAAACTGAGGTCACTAGTTTTAATCTAGGAATTTTCAAATGTAAACACATGTCATGTTATAATCATTTTAAAGGTATTTAATAGACAAACATTTTGGCACAAACGGAAATTAATTATCTTTTTCCATTTTAAAATAACGGCAGTTTTTTGGGGAAAAATCAATATGTTTTTAATACTCTGTGTTCCCTATACCAATGCACTTAGCTCTTCTACGGTTGAATTTTCTTACTCGTTATGAAATTAGCTTTACTGTGATATACTACAAGTAACAGTTTTTTTTAAATAATTATTATTAAAAAAAATGATTTTTAAAAATTTCCAAAGGCTTTATGTTATAAACATTTTTAAATAGCAATATGTCAAGTGGCACATCATTTTATAAGTGTTTTTTTTTTAATTCTTAACAACTTTATAATTTACACTTACTATCTATTAGTATCTCTATTAATTTTTGTGTAAATAACATAAAACCTAATTTTCCTATATCAGATGCATGTCATTTGGGTTTTACACTAATGGCCCCATTTCATTTAGTGTTAAAACTAAATAACATACAGTTGATATAGGAAAATTAGGTTTTTTGTTGTTTACACAAAAACTCCTCTTTGATCCCTGTATCGGAAATATTTATTAAATAGGCTATCAGAAATATTTTTACTTTATTCCTTGGGGTCGATTTAGCAGGAAATTATTTTATTTCATCCTTTTACGTTTATCCGTTTTTCCATAATCAATTTAAGACACCTTACGTGAGATACCCCATATATATTACAATACAACCTCAATACAGTATCTCAAATCTTAAGGATTATGTGTAAATATATGGGATTTTTACCTCAGAACCCAAAAGTCAATAATCAAATTGGTTAAAAACTCAACATAATAAACATATTTAACATTTTTTTACAAAACAAGTTGAAGTTGTGAACTTACAGTTGAGTGGGACTACAATAGTGGTGTGTTACAGGGTATGCCAGAGGCGTGGGCACGGCTGCTGATGAGCTCCAACATCAGCAAACAGGAGCAGAAGAAGAACCCACAGGCAGTGCTGGACGTACTCAACTGGTTCGACCACTCCAGCAAGGAGACCAAGGGCTCCAAGTATATGACTACCACCAAGATGGTCGGTGAGTAAAAAACACAGAGCTTAAAGTTTGTTCCTGGTAATAATACATTTATGTTACTGGACATCAAACTGAATTGAAAATTTCTACAATCACACCAGGAAGACTTCTTGAGAATGCTCAATCAATAGTAGATGGCAGGGTGGTGGTAGTGAAAGAAACCCTGTCATGTTTTCAACCAGAATAGTAGATCACTTAAGGGAAAATATAAGGTAGGCCTAAGGTATTTTTTTGTTTATTGTATTTTGTTGACTAAAGGTCCTATCAAAGATGTTATATAATTTGCTACAAATTGATTAGCCTACTAACCACAAAAAAACCATGAGAATGCTCTGAATATACAAATCAATATATTTCACAGCTCTTTCTTATATGCATTAGAAGTTTTCCTCTCGTACTAAAGAGAACTTTTTTCTGACCACTGTATTTTGTGTGGTGTGATTCACAACATTAATGTGCATCAACAAGAACCACATAAGAAAATATTTCATCTTCAGGCTGCAAAATAATTGTATGGGGACAGAATCTTCCATTAATGATTGTGACAGTCCATCTAAAACTTAGACCCCTGTGTCAACAAACCCACAACACTATCATATAAAACACTCTGATGTTTCTGGACATTAAATTACAAAGCAAAAACTGACGTAAAATTTATGCCATAAATATTCAAAATCGGTGTTGTAGTATGTTTAATTTAAGGTTGAACTAAACTAAAATTGTACAGCCACACCTTTTTTTTGTAAAAGTAACAATTGACAGTAAGGCCAAACTATTGGCCATTGACCAAGAGTGTGACGTGTTTTCAGTGGTACATTATGCCAACTAGTATTATATTACGTATGCTTCTTAGCATTGATTTATTTTCATACAATCTGTAAAACATTTTCCAATATTTAATTTGTTTTCAAATTCACACTGAATTTATACTGTGACATATTTTAGACACAAATTTATTATATCAATAAGATTTAGCCTATATCTCTTAACAAATTTGGATTTCAATCAGGTTTTTATTATTATTTTATTGGTGAACATTAAAAACATAACTAAACCACTATTAAAGAATTGTAGGTACATCTCTTTTACATGAATAATTTTAGCTGCACTTTACTTTAGGTCCCACACTCATTCGAATGAAAAAATATCGATTGATATATCGATTAATCGATTGTTTCATTCGATATATCGTTTGGTTAGGTAGGTAAGGTTAACCTAACCTAACTAACCAAACGATATATCGTATTAAACAATCAAAAAATCAATATTTTCATTCGAATGAGTGTAGGACCTAAAGTAAAGTGCAGCCATAATTTTATATACTTTGATAAAACTATTTGATAGCAAAGTCTTCAGATCTGTTAAATACCAAATGCTTTTTTATTTTACCTTTCATTTAAGTTTTAAATTTGTTCTATTGACAACTGTTGTAAAGGCTGATCGGGTAAATTAAGTCACAAAACTCATTTAGCTCTACTACATAGCCAAATAAATTATTTTTTAATTCAAAGTTAAACTTATATGTTCTTTAAATTGGTTTTTTTGCTTTGCAAATTATTATCAATAAATTATTATCAATATTGATACTGTTGTCCTTTACTGTGTCCTAAGTGTTATTATTTCCCACTTAGGATTGGTAAATATCCAATGTGAAAGTGAAGATCTTAGTGTGTAGTGTGTAAATATGTGTGTGCAGCGACGGCGGACCTATGCCCCAGCTTGCGACACACTCCCCACCACTCGGACTCGTCACAGTCGCAGTCACACAGTCAGCACAGCTTGTCGCAGCCATCGAGTAGCTCTCCCTCCTCCACCACTCCTGACACAGAGGGGGGCCATCCCCCCACCACAACCTCGGAACAGGAGGATGAGCCACCCCCACCACCTGTCGCCACCAGGCCAGAGCGCACCAAGAGCATCGTGAGTTTTATAGCATTAAATGAAGCAAAATTTGGTTTTGCAGTATTTTGTAACACCTTGAATGCAATGCAATTGTTAACCTTTTTCACTGTGGAAAATTTCTCAGGGATTTTTCAGAACTGATTAGATGTTTTAATAATATAAAGAAGTCATTGCTCATTACTTCAGTAGGCTACACATGGTTTAAAACATAGTGAAAAAATACAAGATTGAAAGAACAGATTATTTAAACGGTCAGTCTTTTAAACGTAGAATGACCAGGAGAATGATTTACTGGTGAATAAGATTTAGATCTTATCCACCTCCTTTAGATTCCTTTAGATCTTATGCTCAGTCAAATAATTTATTTGTTTCAAGGTGATGAAAAATTGACAAATTAATTGCACACAACGTGTAGAAAACAAGTTTTACTTGGTGTTGACAAAGTTAATTTGATATTCATCTAAAACACTTACTGTACATGAAAGAAACATCACAAGAGCTAAATTTCTGTCTATTTCATTCAGGAAGTTATTTTATATCAAGAGTCCATGGGATAAAAGTTTTTTTTTTTATGTCAGCATAATATTGTTCACTATAATTATCTTTGTGTAGGATTTTTAAGGAAGTATAGTTTTTTAATAAGTCTTTTGATATTTTTGTATTCTTTCCATATTATTTACTAACTTGCCTCTTAATCATAGTATCAAGAATTTAGTTTGTTCAATTGACTTTTGGCCATAAATTGTAATATTACTAAATTAGATAGGGATGCCTATTATTCTTAATCTAACATGGTTTTTTTCAACAGTACACAAAACCTGTGGAAGATGTCACGGTAACGCTGACTCCAACACCGCCTATAGTATCACCTAGAACAACAAATGGAACGACAACATCACCGACGGCAACAACGGTTCTAGACAAGAATAAGAATCACAATACTACTAATACCAATACAAATACTAACACATCTACTACTACAAACACCAACACAAGTAGTTCAACGGCGCGGAAGAAGAAACTGAGTGACGACGAGATACTAGAGAAGTTACGGACAATTGTCAGTGTAGGTGACCCCAACAGGAAATATGCCAAGATGGAAAAGATAGGACAAGGGTAAGAAATTACCACTTCAGGGTATTTTTGTTACAGTAATTGCCAGTCAGAATATATATGTTTTTTAGCTCAGTTGTCGTTCTTGCCATGGATAGGATTAATTTTGTGTCTTCATAATTTGATGTTGTCTTTGTGTGATGTACGTTAATGAACAGTAAGTAGACACTTATTTCCATTCACTCCTTACCTTGTTTCACTTTATGTTGATTCAGACATAAGGAGACGAGTCAACAAAGAATCAAATTTATGAAGGTTGCAAGGTGGATTTTTCGCTAAATACAGGGTTAATCTGACCTTATTGTTAATCAATCTCAAGTCAAAAATGTTCATGAATAATACAATACTAACCTGTATCACCTGTTACAGTGCGTCGGGGACAGTATACACAGCTATTGAGGCATCAACAGGTATGGAAGTGGCAATCAAACAGATGAATCTGTCTCAGCAGCCCAAGAAGGAACTAATCATCAATGAGATCTTGGTCATGAGAGAAAACAAACATCACAACGTTGTCAACTACCTGGACAGCTACTTGGTGGGCGAGGAACTGTGGGTGAGTGAATAAATGTATACAAGACCTTAATTGAACTTGAAAATTAATATGACTGTGAAAGCCAAGCAATAAAATGTGAATTTCTTCTTTAAGTTCAAGTGGGAACCTAATAATAGCTTATAGAAGCTCTTTTATTTACTTACATACGTTAGGTGGTGGTAAATATCCAGTGAAAATTTGTAAAGCACCGGCATGAAAATATGGGAATTTAATGAGTTCATTTTGTGAAACACCTTGCATGAGGTCTTATAGGCTAAAACATCCGTTTCTCTAGTTGTGATTCTGTGACAGGTTGTGATGGAGTACTTGCCGGGTGGCTCACTGACTGACGTAGTCACAGAGACTTGTATGGACGAGGGACAGATCGCCTCGGTGTGTCGTGAGGTCTTACAGGCACTCGAATTCTTACACAGCAACCAGGTTATTCACCGAGACATCAAGTCAGACAATATACTGTTGGGACTTGACGGCAGTGTCAAACTGAGTAAGTTAATCATTAGTTTGTTATTTATTATATTATTTAAGTGTTCACTTGCCAAAAGTCCATTCCAGAGTATGTGAAGTTGTGATTATTTTGTGCAATTGGTAATAAATAACATGGAAAAAGTAGGCTGTCAATGCAAGCTCTCAATCCTGTAAGTGGTTGCAAACATTTAAACATTTACTTTAATCTAGTAAAGTAAGTTAATAGTCAAATACCTGACTTGTCTCCTGTTTAAGGCTTTAAGCATTTCTGTTGGTTGAATGACACCGTCTTATACTACTGATGTTTCCGCAGCTGACTTTGGTTTCTGTGCACAAATCTCCCCCGAGCAGTCCAAGAGGACGACCATGGTAGGCACGCCGTACTGGATGGCTCCAGAGGTGGTGACGAGGAAGCAGTACGGGCCCAAGGTGGACATCTGGTCACTTGGCATCATGGCTATTGAGATGATTGAGGGAGAACCACCTTACCTCAACGAGAACCCTCTACGTGTAAGTACATCCAATCACAATCCCAGCTGAGGAGAACATTTATTGTTGTAGCATTGAATTTTGGATACCGTACTGAAGTGACATCCTATCTATGCTTCCTAACAACATCCATGCTTTCTATCAGCTGTGATTTGTTTTTCTGATATTTCACATAGACAATTACTCATCGTCCTCTATTAGGTCATTGAAAATTTAATGATGAAAACAGGCCCGCAGTTTGCATGTGATGCGCTATGGGCCTTAGAGATAATTGAGCCTCTCTCCTCATACCTTGTAAGAGAATTTTTCGGCGACTTGTGCCCTAGTAGCTAGTAACTAGTAGCTATCTCTAACAACTCTATCACAAACAACTTTTAGTCACAGCATCACACGTTATGTTGCAGGCTTTATATCTGATTGCTACAAACGGTAAACCAGAGATAAAGGAGAAAGAGAAACTTTCCCAGATCTTCCAGGATTTCTTAGATCAGTGCCTAGAAGTGGAGGTAGAACTGAGGGCCTCTGCATCTGAACTGCTAAAGGTAAACTACCATGAATTTGTCAAATTCAGGCCACCTTTTAACACCAGAATTTGTCAAATTGAGGCAAGGCCTCACTAGGAAAACAGGCCATGCTGCAGGATCCATGACGTCACACTAGTGGATAGATTTGTTGATAGATTCACAGCAATATCCCAATTGTTTTAGGTAAATAAGCTGGCTGTTTGTCAGATTTTAACAGTAAGATTTTAGTACAACTATCCACTACTGTGAGGCTAGATCAGCGGACTTTAAGGTTAGACATTTCCATCCAATTGGTTTACAGATTATACGTTTTTTGACAAACTTTCAATACTATCACAATTATAATGATAAATGTACAAAGTTATTAATACTTTTTTTTTTAAAGAGGTTGGCGGCCTCGTTTAACCTTGCATTTGCCCGTCCACATAGACTAAGCGCCCGTGCGTGGAACGTTTACAGCAAAGCAAGGAGTGAGCCGGTACAGTACAAAGGTGAACTGTACTGATAAATTTTAGTGGCAGTGACCAGGATCCGAACCCACGACATCGCTGCCTTGGGCCCGAAATCCGCGACGCTACCGACTGAGGCACCGACTCACAATTATGATAATAAATCTGGGACACTACTACGCGTGCGGGGGTACACTGGATCCCCTAATGAACACTGTACTGGTAACACAAGCACGCGCGTGGGGGTATGCCAGACCCAGGGGGGTGATAACAGGTCAATGACTTGGTAAAGACTAATAACCCTGCGGCCAGATGATAGAATGTGCTATTTTAGGAAGCTACTGTTTTGCTCACCAGGGTTGTCAACATACTTGTAAAATTATTACAAAACTAACGGTCGTGGGGGTATGTAATACCCCCGCACGTTTGTTTAAGGGTTAACTTGGGCACTTTTTGTGTTGTTGTTTTTTGTTTTTTTTGAGCAATGAATAGTAACCAAGGATTACTATAGGTCTATATGATTATTTAGACCTTGTTGCATATAGAACAGTAATCACGAGGCTAAACTAATTTTTGGATTGGTTTACCTGCCAAACTTGGGAGGAAACTAAAAAGTTAGGTTTTTTGTTAGATTATGTGTACAAACTGGTGTCGGCCATGACTAATAACAGCTCGACGTGGTTTTACAGCATCCGTTCCTGAAGCTAGCTAGACCTCTAGCCAGTCTAACGCCTCTCATCATGGCAGCCAAAGAAGCGGCTAAGAGTCACTGACGTGACCAGACCACCACCCCTCGCCCAGGCCCCTCCCCCGTCAATACTGCATCATAGCTCACCCACTAGCAAAGATAATCCTCATATCTTATATGTTAAGGAAGAAATTTTTTTTTCCCACAATGGGAACATTTGCAGCTTGTAAGCTTACATATTCCCCCCCCCCCCAAAAAAAAATATGCCTTTTTGTAAGTTTATGTTTCAAGGCATTATTCTGATGTATTTTTTTTCAATCAAAATGTTATGTAACTGTGCAGTTAAGTTACTTTACTGACACTCCAGCGGGATTAAACATTCTAATTAGTTATAAGCAATATATTCTACATTTTCTATATGTGAACTTCCCCACTTACATTTTGTATTGTAGCAGCAGAGGCTGAAGATACTGTATTTCCTCCCTAGTCATTATTTCCCCTTCCCCCTCCCATATTGCTCTGACTTGTATGCGACTTTGTTATCACTGGCGCCGGCGTCGGTTGACAATTCTAGTCTTAGGGTTTATATGAATTTAGCAGAAACAATATAATATCAGCTTGTATTATTATGCTGTAGATACATATTGTAAACCTAGTCCTCGTAATTTACAATGGACAATATTGAAAATTTCAATGGGTATTTTTGTACAATTTCATTTCAAAAAGTTGGATTAAGTTCCCTAGACAATATAGATATTTAAATATTCAATTTTCCTTCTTGCGGCTATTTTCCAATATTTTGGTACTTAAAATCTTTTCATTTATCAATTTCTTGTATTGTGAACTCATTTGTAATTGAGGATTGTAAGTAGTTTAAGTTTAAATCCACTAAATACGTTTAATGGTGAATTTGTATATTTAATTAATTTTAGTTTAACAGTGCGTAAAAAAAACATAATACTAAAATAATCCATTACACCAGCATTACAACCATAACCAAATTCACTGGACAGAGTTAAATATTTTGAATGAAAAGAGACAATAGTTTTGAAAGTGGACCAATACAGATTTTAAGGGATTTGATTATGGTTCTTAATATATCTAAACTTATCATTATATAGTGTCATCCGTCCTAAGAGGATTTTATTTATAGTTTTGCTTATTTGTTTAGTTGTAAGTAGCAAATAGTTTCTTTTGAGCAACCAATTTGTTTACTAACCTTGAGGCTCGTTATTTTGTTAACATTCAATTCTATAATGATACCTTTTCACAGAACAGAGACAAACATTTATGGAATGTATACTAATATTTTTAAATGATGTAGACTTAAAAGGCTTTACCTGTGATGCATTAAGATAGAAAGGTCATTTTATTTGAAACCCCTCTAAAAATAGAGATGTCTTTAATGATCAAATTGGATAAACTTTATTATAGTTACAACCTTTTTGCTCTTATAACAGTGCTATGAGCCGCATTTGATTTGTTATGTTTTGCAATGTAATATTTGTGTAGTAAATACTCCCATGAAGTTGTTTTCTCCCATGTTATGGAAAATTATGATTTTACTGCATTATCTACCCCGATGGGATTTGATATTTTGCAGTTTCTGCTTCAAGATCACAAAACCACCCAATAATAAATTCACATATAAGAACCTACGTAATGAAAGCACAATAAACATAGCTTCCTAAAGAGGAGCACATTTTTTTGTAAATAGTTTCTAGGGGTGTGCGATGCATCGAAAATGCATCGAAATTTCGATTCGATTCGATTCGATGCATCGAATCGCGATTCGATTCAGTGGTGGTCAAAAAACGATTCGATTCACGAGGGAGTCAGTATCCATATACGAAAAACGCCTGCAGAAAGTCAATGCAATACCCGCAATACAGGAGCGCGTTGCTGTTGCGTTTCCTTTACGAAGGCGTTCTTATTTAATACATTCTTTGCATTAAATATAGCTTTAATTGTTTTATATTTTTTTGTTTTGACATTGCAAATGATTAGAGGTTTGTTTTTTGTCTTGATGTAAGCAGTGTGTGAAATATTTTACTACTGTGAACCTAGCCAAAACAAGGTAGGTTACTCCAAAATCATTTTAAAAATAAGTCTGAAAAATTGTTACCTAATACTTAACTAGTAAGATTAATGTTATAGACTGATTCATTTGGTATTTTTGTTAGGTGTCTGCTGGTCCCCGTCCCCGAATTTTTGTTGGGGCAAAAGAAAAAAAAAGAATAATTTATTTCCAAAGAAACACTCTTATATTATTATATCTATTATTACAGAAGAATTAAAATGTTCAAATGAGAATTAAAAATTAAGTTGGCTCACGACCTTTAAGAATAAAGACACAACAGAGCAATTGCCGCACTGCCTCTAGCCAGAGCCAGGTCTAGTCGTCTACTGATAAGAGTAACAAGCAAAAGCCGTGACGCAACACTAACAGTGCAAAGAAAACAAAGTCAAAAGAATAGAAAGACTATTTATCCAGACATACTAGTATAATCATTTATTGTTTATTCAATACCTAATTAAAAATATATTTTATTATTTTACATAATAAATTATAAACAAAAGAAATATCTGATATAGTGAACAGATCTGTATCTTGGTTAGATGGGGTTAAAAAAATATATTTCTAAGATCCAATACAATATTTACAACTCACAAATTAAATTGAATTAATTTCTTTGAAAATAATCTCTAACAGTTTTGTGTCTTTGAATAAAGAAATATATTTCTTTGTCTCTACTCCCTTGTTTCATCACTTGCATTTTGTCTGCAATTGAAGCAACTGGGTAGCAACCGGGTGGTGTAAGAGGGGAGGGGGAGGGTCTATGACCTTGAATTCACACATCGTTGCCCGGGCCTGGCTGGTGAGACTGATTCATTGTTTTTGTTGACATACTACTACCCTTCCTTAAGAGAAAAAGGCCCTGCTGTTCCAAAAACATTGAGGGTAGTTTAAAAACATTGACCTGTGTTGCCAAGGGTACTAGGCTAGAAGATAGCATTTAACTTTCTTGTCTCTTGATTTAATATTATTTTAATCTTCTATATATTATTTAAGAGTTACTTTTCGGGTACCTAATTAGTTGTGATATTGTTTGGCTTTATTTTATGGATTTTTAATTCTTTTCATTCATTAGCTATCAAAATCAGTTGTTTTAGGATTTTAATCTCTTGCAGTAGGTCTATACTACTGTATGACATGATATGCATTTTTTAGTCCTTTTTAATTATACCATAAACAATGTTTGTATGTTATTTACTGTTTTTTAGTTTTATAGGAAATTAGTTTACACAATATCTTTTCTTCAATGAGTTCTCCACTTGACATGTTGCTTCTAGCCTATTACTATTTTAGGCCCTATAAAAATAATGTCTAGGTAAAGCTGTACGCCTACTGATGCCAATAATAATTCTTTATTTATTATGATGTAACAAATAATGTAAGTGTGAGGTTATTATACTAAGGAGGTTAGGAGGCAGGGAATGAATGATACATATTGCATGGTGGAAACATATTATTTTTATTTTCTTCTTGCTTGCAGTCCTGAAGCCGGTCCACAGGCCCTAAACTTGTGATATGTAAATTTATTTCTTAATGGTCTTTTTATATTAAGTTCCATTCAAATTTGTTGTAATTTAGCTACCGGCACCTATTTAGTTATTTAAACAGTTATTAAAATGAGAATGAATGTCTTGATAAAAAAAATATTTTCTTCTTTCTTGCAGTTGAGCCAATTCAAGTAAAAATTATGAAATAGGCAAGTAAAGCAGCTCACTGGTATTTCCAGCAGTTATTCTAATACATATGATTGAAAATAAATATTTTTTCACCTAAAATTCATATGTTAAGTATGAAATAGGCCTAATACCACATCAACAAAAATTTGTATTACACAAATGTGATACATTTTAATTATTGTTAATCCACTCAATTGACAATTATGAATAGAAAAATACCGTATTGCTTCGAATCGAGTTGCATCGAATCGAATCGAAAATCTTTTGAATCGAATCGTTGCTTCGAATCGAAAATTTTTTGCTGCTTCGCACACCCCTAATAGTTTCTACGAGTATATAAATACATGTTATAATTTGCTTGTGATTTTATTTTTGTTTGACTGTGCTGCGTGCCTAACTTGTGTATAGCTGGCGACCGACACAGTACTGTGCATATAATCATGATAAAGTAGTGTATGTACATGTAGGTAGTAAATATGCGAGTATTCTATTGAGTTTATAATCAAATGTTTGTTGAGTGATGTGATTCAATGTGCTAATGTCGTTTCTGTACAATACAACCATTCTGATTTATTGAAATGGCGCTTAAAATATGCTTAAACAATTTTTTCCGTCACAAAGTTAACATACATTGAAAACATTGATTGTTAATTTTCGAATTCCGCAAAATTGAACTTACAATAAGTCAATTTCAAAAAAGCAATAAGAATAACATGAGCACATGTTAAAAATCTACTTCACTCAACAATCTTATTCTTTTCGACTTTACAGGGGCTTCTAGGCTGCATTGAGCCTAATGCATTTATGTTTGCAGTTTTCATTTTTTGTATATTTTTCAATCATATCACATCGTAAAATATATTTAAAGATGTCAGCAAAGTGTGGGGTTCTTGTAATTGATAATAAATGGGTGACACAGGTCTTGGTACAGAAGTATAATGTATGATGTAATGTAATCATGTGACCGGCCCGATACATTCTCTTTGATACAGTACTTATATTGATTTTTAATAGATGTATGTTATTTGAAAAATATTAGTTTTATAGAAATAGTAAGTATCTACAGTAGAACCTTTCTCACAATGGAAATAACAATTAAGTTGTAAAGCCTAGGAAACTAAAAACACCAAAATGCATTTTAGTCAAATTATAAGAAAGTTAATAAAAAGTCTGGGGTTGAGGCTGTTGATGCAGATGCCAGTATGTCAGTGCTGTTCGAAGTGTTAAAACGTTGCAAGAAAAATAAGAATAAAAATTTCAAAAAGCGGAATTGCAGAAGTTAATTAAATGTATCAGAATCGAATAATCAATCTATAGCAGACCTTGTTATATAACCCTAACTTCAGTTACTATATTGCCTTATTCACCTCTGTAAATGCTGAAAAATAAGAATTTTAATAAAAATGTTGGCTTATTGACATGACCTTCCCCTAAAGGTTCTGCTGTATTAGGATATTTCGGTCGTGACAAGTGTCGTTCAGTAAGGTGTATGGTATAAGCCTATCTCCCCTGTGTATTATACAACCCAGATTGTACAGTGTATATAAAGACTCAGTATTTTGCATTTTCCTCTCGAATAAAGCAGTGCCTGTCGTACGGATAGATTACCTTTGGACTGTTACAGTAACGTATTGTAGTTCTTGTAAAAATGATCAAAGCTTTCGATTTGGCTGTATTTAAGTTTCAATGTGTTTAAAAATTTAGTTGTCCAGTGTTAAAATAATCTTGAATAATTTTGTACTGCATAGAATAATTCAACCATGACATTCACCTGTTTTTTCAAAGTTGACGTTTACAATCAACTGCACTATTCAATGTATTAAATATTTTTATTTTGTATCCAACCCGATATAAGCTTTTATTTAGCAAGTGCTTAACTATCCCAATTATAATCTTATTGCATTATTAACACACTTTAATTCTTGTTTTGGACTTCTCGTAGCGGTTTTAGTCTAGACAAGTTTAAACAATATTATAGTTTGTTGTAAAGTTAGCAAGGGAATTCCAAATAGCCTAATTTTTAGTTGATTGCTATTGCGTTTTCCGCTTGTGATGTTAAACTGCAGGTTGTATTTGTGTAATATTTTTTACCTTTTTTTTAATATAAGGCAGTATTATCAGTATAGATAATTTAAGCGAAGTTCAAAATATATTCGAGCTTCTTTTCAATAGAATTATTGTTTATTATTTAGTTGTCATGACAGTTGACTATTGTATTATTCATATAAATGATTCTGCTATAATGCTATATATTTTTCTATTTAGTGTAAATAGCTATTATTTAAATTGGGCCCCTTTTTAGACCCTTACTTTGTATGGAAAACAATTTGGAATTCACTTGTAGTTGATCACCAAATTACTGAACTTTTATTTTCGAAACATAACATTTAAAAAATGACAAAATCTATAGGGCCTAAATGTGAATTATGGGCATAGTAATAACATGAGTTATTTACAATTGTGGTACTGTAAATCCGTGAGATGTATATACATTTTTATTATGACTCCATTTTATATGGATTTAAAGCCAAATAAACGATATTGTGTAACAAAACTCTTTGTTTCTTGTTGCTCATATCAACTTTATTAATAACAATAAGTTAGTGTGAATATTAATTTGTTTTCAATATTATTAATGATGTATATTTTGTTTTTATCAAAAGGTTTATTTAGAATTTTTGACGGTTTTGTAATTGTTATGAATATTACAATTTATATATTTTTTAATGTTAAATGCCAATCAGAAGGTTAATAAAGTGAGTTTGTGCTTATAATACTTCTGCCTGAGTTTTATATCCATAAATAAAGAGTGTTATGGTGAAATTATCAAGACATTTATTGAAGTAATCATTTTCATCATTAACTTTTTACCTTTTAGCAGCAAGGTGATTTGCCATTATGCTGTTATTACACCTTTATTACTCTAAAATCTTTTTCTTCATGTATGGATTAGTTTTTACTTTTTTTGTGAAATATGGTCAATTTGAATTAATTTGCTTTGTTTAAAGAGAGAGCTCACACCTGATGAAACACCTGGGTGCAATTATCTTTTTGATTAACTGTTCAAAATTGGACCCAGCTATTACTGATCATAGGCCTTTTTACATAAACTAGTTTTTCTGCTGGTGCTCCACAACCAGGGCCGGACTTACCTATGGGCGAAGGGGGCGAACGCCCGGGGCCCCCGAGCCAGTAGTTTTTACCATTAACTTCGAAAATTGATCAGACACTTACCAAATGGCCTTCTTTTGTAACAGCTTTATTTTCATTTTCGCTATCCTATGTTCAAGGCTATTGTTAGGTGCATTTTAAGGCATTACTAGGAATGAAATTCTTGACCCTAAGGGACTTTTTCTCAGAGTTGCACTGGCCCCACGCTTAGGCCTGGTTTACACAAGCATATGTGCTAGGCTGTGACGGACAAGTTTCAGTTTCAATGAAGCCGCTCGCCCGAACGTACGGCCGCGGCGAATGAGTTGAAGGGGTCCCGCGCTTGGGGCAAAAATACAATAAATATGAAAACTCTTGTCCCAACGTAGAACGTAACTTGTAAAATTGTGTTGTTTTAAATGGAGATTCACTGGTGTTCAAATACTTTAAAAAATAAAAATATTGCTCCGTTTAGGTTTTATTAAATGTTTTTCTTTTCTTTTACCTCTAAGTATATACCAATCAGGATTTTAAGGGGTAGAAGTATATTATCCGTCCAATTTAAAGGTTTTGTAAAATAGTAATTAATTAAGTTATGCGCCAAAATTTTGATCTCCAATTTAGTCTTTGGAGTCAAATTCAAAATAAGCGAATAAGCAGAAGCAGCTGCAACAGTAAATGATAATGAGCTGATAAGGGATCCTGTCTAGTCCTCTCTGTCTCACGCACGCGCATACACACACATAAAATGCCTTATCGCCTATCCAAAACAATTTAAATCACTTTACTCCCATAGTTTGTCCTTTGAGACTAGAGGTCACGTCAAGTTGGTTGAAATTGTCTTACGTTGATTCAATGCTATGTTTGTGTTGTATTAATCGATATTGGATCCATTTAAACATCTTTCAGTTTCTCATATAAATAGTTAGCTTGTGAGTGTTTATTAGACATTGCAAGATTTTGCTCGTCAATAAAAAACTCAACCTTGAAAGTCCTCAATGGTAATTTTCATGCTAGGACTTTAACATATTATAAAAACGAGAATGCTATAGGTACCAAAAACATTATGAAAATAAAATAATCACACCTATATTGTAGTAATATTGAAAAACCATACAAATCGTCGGCAATAATCGATAATTTAAATACGTAATAAACAAAAATATATCAATACTTCTAATCCATATATATTATGGTAGCCTACGGTACCATGCTACCATACCAAATATGCCGTCACTGGTACTACAAAGCAATACATTTTTATTTTTGTGTATAAAATTAAAATATGTAAAAATAGTTATATTTTAGGAACAATTTTTTATATAGAACTTATTGCTTATTTGGCCTTAAATTGCTCTATTTGAAGCCTAAATTTAGAAATTTTCCCGGGGGGACCCCCCAATCTCACTAGAGGACCCCCCTCCCCCCCCCCCCCCCCCCGAACTGAAATCCTAGGGCCCCATTGGAAAATTTGCCCGGGGCCCCTGTAGTCCTGAGTCCGGCCCTGTCCACAACGGGGCAAGAATACTTGATATCAATCGTACTTACACATCACATTTGCATTAAACAGTGTAACAGAATCAAAACTAATAACTTTATTGTAAACAAACTAAAAATAAAAACAAATCTAACAGCTAATACATCTTCAATATTTAAAATGTGACTAAATAAAGCCGAGGTTCGTGCCTTGTTCGAAGTTTCAAATGAAAACCTTTCATTCAAGTATGCGGTTGATAGGTGTATGCCTTGCCGTTTTCTCAAAAGTTCAGACCCTTATTAACTTTGTAGGTATAAATAAATAATCATGGCCAAGAAACAGCTGATCTTAGTCACCAACAAAGCCAGATAAGATCATCTCACACCATTCTAAACTCATATTTGGGTTTATATGCGCACCTAGGTAAGCAGGTGGCATCCCCATCTCAATGATTGATAACTAATTATGTTTCAAAATGATACTGTGTAACAAGTTGCGATACAGCTTGCATCAATAATCTATAACCTAAATATTAGTTTCTAATTGACTAAATTTGTTTCATTTATCACTGCAAAATAATGTGTAGAATGCCAATGCACTCAATTGTGTACTTGTAAACTGTTTGTTGTCTTGAAAACCAGTTTTGGCTGAAGACCGCTTTAAATATTAGGCATTTTATTATTATTGATTCAATGAATCAGTTAAAATTAGTTGCTTACCAATATTTTTTCATACATAGTAAAGCAATTTCACTGCACAAGTGTTAATTCAGAGCAGTAAGATTAAATTATGTTAACACTTGTTTGACGCCGTCATTATACATCGGTCAGTTTTTGCGAATCACTAGGTAAAAGGTACAATAAACACACTTAAAGATGGCAGTTTTTAAAAGCTGTATTTTCATCACAAAATAAAATTTGAGTTAATAAATAAAAAATGTCAACAAAAAGATAAAACACAAAACTAGAAATCCCCAACGACCTAAACCCTATCTAACTAATCTAAGGTTATAGTTAAAGATCTAACATAACATGGTATTTTAGTTGGTAGTGTTAAATTAGATGATGTGCCTACATCAAACCAAAACTTGTCGACTAGATTGAAGAGTATCACTCACACTCATGTGTGTTTGAGATTAGTTGGTTGGTACTTTGGATGGTTAATATGAGAGTACTTAAACATACTGTTCCGACTGCCACAAGAGCATTCTAGTAAAGGTGGTACATAAATAATTAGGTATGCATAAATATAAATATTTCTTATTTTACATGACAAATCTCTTTTGCTATGGCACATTGACAAATTTCACCAAATTAAATAAAGATGTACTGAATTTACTAACGTCTTCAATTCAAATTTCTGTGGAGGATTCAAGGTCATTGTCACACTAGAACCTCTCATATTTGGCCACGACGAGGCCCAGAACGAAAAAAAAATCTATTAAGAAAAACAATAAATTACACCGAATAATGTGTAATAATCAGTGTAGTCAAAAGTAGTGTTTAAAAGACTCTTCTGGGATATTTTGTTTTATAAAAATTCATGCGTTTCCCAAATGAAGAGAAGCTTTATTTATCACAATTAGTGTTTAACCATCAGAAAATATTATGAATTCAGATAGGTAAACACATAGAGGTAAACTACCCACAATAAAATTGGCTTAAACGATTATAAGGTCTTAAAATAGTTTGTAAATTCCACCTGAACCATTGACTTTGAATAGTTCAAGTAGACTTCTCAAACTATTGGAAATACTGGAGTCCGTTTTTATGAGTTGGTGTTTTATTGGTGGTGTTTAAGGTTAGACATACTACCTCAACTAAATAGTAAACACAGTAAAATGTCAAACAAATAAATAAACTGTGGGCATCGAGACTATAGAGCTTGCAATCAAAGACACTCTGTAAGATGGAGAACTAAGTTTTGATATTAGCTATTGAAGTAGCCAGATAATATAAGGACCGGCACCGGTAACACCGTGGATGGATATGAGAGGTTCTACTGTATTTGATCATTCAATCTGTACTACAAATCTCACATCAAAAATATTATGACCCAAAAACTTGTAAACTTTTTCCTGTGGTGTGATAGGCTATTTTATAAGCTCAGGACACTGTCAAAGGTTATTGAATAAAACAAAGTATTTAACACTGAAGTTGATGGATGTCACAAATTACAAACCACAGAAAACTGGCACACAAATAATAAGTTGAATCAATTCTGTTCAGTTGTAACCTTTCAGTAAAATGTTGCCTTTTTTGGCGATTTTAGGTTAAAAGTTTACCTTAATCTGTTTAGTCTAAGGATCAGTTTAACCATTTGAAAGAAGTGAGTCAAAAGATACTATCTTATTTGAAAACATAGTTTTTTTTTCAAAGTCAACACATTTGCAAGAAGTACAAACCACCAAGTAAGGTCTCGGCCTACATCAAAACATTAACATAAAATGTGATGTAGGCCCCTACACATTTATACATCGGAAATATTTACACAATTCCCTAAAAGCCTTAAGGCATGAGTTCTTACAGTTAAGTGAAGTAAATCCATATAAAAATAAATTATCAATCAATAACAAAATATCATTTTCAAAAATTATGTACAAGCATTGTTAAAAAGCTGCATAGGTTGATTACAAAAACTTGAGCATTTCAAAAAATCCTTCAACCTTACAATAAAGTGATGACTTGGATGCAATGGCTCTACGGAGTTCAAAATGTAAGTACATAAAATAATTGTTGGGTAACAATAAATTTTATTTAAAGGTTGGTTTTTGACCTAAATTAAAAACCAATTTGAATTTAGTCAAATTAATTAGTGTTTTTTATAGAACCGGCTTGTAATATCATAGAATTTAACTTTGTAAAATTGTGCGTCCATACCAAAATGTTACTTCTAAATTATTATTTGCAATTTAGATTAGAAAAAGTTAATTGCACAATCTCTTAACTATTAGGACCTTTCCAAAAAAACCTTCATAATTCTATTGTCAATGAGCACTAAGATCAAGATAATTAATTTTGAAGTCCAAGAGAGGGTGCAATCCTACATGCAAGAACATTGTACAAATAATAATATCAGGTTAAACAAATCATTTGGATGGAATATGCAGTTGTTTTACAGTGCAATTGGCAAATTGTAATTATTGATTTAAAAAACATACGCTGTATTTTATTAGGTTTATAAACAAATCTTACACTTCTATTTTTATTGGATTCTATATCAAGGAATTATTCAATAATGTCTAACATATTATCTAAAACATACACAAAAGGGTTAGTATAAAAAATCGTAAAACAATTAACTGGCCGCTATTGTATCACATCGAGTAAAATCCACTCTATAGCTTGTGGTTAAATGCCCTAAAATCAGATGCACTAAAACATTTTTGGTGTTACTGTAAATAAAACTTAAATAAATAATAAATATCAAATAACAACCGGAGTTAGTTGTGAAGCAAAGCGATAGTTTACCATTGCTGGGTAAATATTCTAACAATTATGAAAATAGATTCCACTGTTTTATGACTGTAATTTGAATAGGCCTAAATCATCACTTAAGAAATTTACAACATTTTCCATTCTCAAAGTTTAAAGTAATACAACAATTTATTTTATTCCTAATTGCTTTATCATACCATTCTCATATTGAGGTCAATGTGTCAAATTTGATACGGTTATCAGTTGATAGATGAGGTCAATGATCAAGTGAGATATTTTACTTAATTTAGACTCAATTCCACGTTCATTGTGCAGCACAGATCTTAGGGAAACAGGCATGCGTTCAACATTGTTCAAAAAAATATATTTCTTGTCATGGGGAGTTGCGTCAACTGTCCTCGCAACACTCGTTAAGACATTAAAGACCACTTTTATACCTTTATTTTATACTTTTATTAATTAGTATTTTGACTTTGGTGTTGTCAAAATTAGTAGAGAAAGTGGATGGAAAAAGCAAAGGAGTGTTTAGTATTGCTGACTGCCGCTTGTGGGCTCTCTGTACTGCACGGGGAACGTGGAATGGAGTGTAGAAAAAATAGGTGATCGCCCAGAAAAAACCAGTAGTCTACTCGCTCTGACTCCCCTCTGCGGGGTGGAAGTTCATGGCAGCACTGTTGATGCAGAAGCGTTTCCTCGTTGGCGGAGGGCCGTCTCCAAACACATGGCCAAGATGAGCTCCACAGTGGGCGCAAGTCACCTCCGTACGGACCATACCTGGATTGGTGATCAATAACAGTAGGTTGGCCCCGACTTTAGATACGAGGAAGGGTGGGGGGGGGGGGGGAGGGAAGAAACAAGACGCACATTAGCCTCTTTGATACCACCAACCCGAACCCGCCTGTATAGCAAGCTTGTTTATGTACAGTATAGGGAATGATAAACAAAACTATTATTTTATTGGCTACAGTGTTATTTATGTTAGAATCATTTGAACTGAATGTTTGCAGCTGAAACTGTATCTTGAAAATTGTTTTATCAAATTGAGAAATGTTGGGATCAAATCATTCATATGTTGGGGAAACAAGAAACAAGAGAATCTCAAAACATTTTAACACTAAATTACTGACGTAATAATAGTTTTAGCAGTACACAAAAAACAGGTCAACTATTTAATTAATAAAATTGAATGATTTTGACTTTGTTATTTTAATTTCAATTTACTCAAGAATTATTTTAATATTCTGAAATCGGAATAGTGACAGTTGTGGAGTAAGCCTAAATTACCACAAATACAACACAAATAGATCATATTGTAGGACATTATAGATTACTGGGTGTATCTTTACATAAACTTTTTAATGACCAACAGTTCTAATAGATGGAAACTACAAACTATTTCAAGAGTCATGAATAAAAAAATTTGGGTTCATAAAAGTTAAATTAAATTATATATAGCCTATTGCATATTATTTTTGGGTTAAGTGATAAAAAATAAAAATTTACGGGATAAAGTATACAAAGTGCTATAAACAAGGGAACATTTGGTTTGTTATGCACATGTTTTTGAAAAATTTTCAAAATACAACTCAAATACCTTCAGACAATACTGTAATCTACTTTAAACTCGATCAATGTTTATAAACAGGCTTGCTGATACAGTGGCGATGTAAATTGCAAGATAACAAAGCAATTAAAAAACAAACTTCATGCTATTAAAAGCAAACCAAACTATCATGCACACATTTTACAGCAAAAACAAACAAACATAAATGAAAGACAAATAGAAGATGAATTGGAGAGGATCGATAAGGATTTCATAAATGTATTGAAAAGAACTTGAAACCTTCTCCCAAGACATTTATGGCTTGTGGTGTAATCAAAGTATCACAGTGTATCCGTAGTGTTCTTTACTCACATTATGTGGCACAATATCTCATTTCCGGGGAACTGGAATCAGTTTTGTGCAATACATGTGCATTTTATCTGGTTTACCATTTATTATCAATTTTAAGTTGACCACTTAAAATAATCTTCTGTATATAAGAATTCAGCAATTGTTCCCCAATAACGGAATTTTTTCTTGAACCCGTTTTAACCTCCAACTTAAATTTTACAATTATTACTGCTACAGTAGAACCCCTCACATCCAGCCACCACAAGACCAAACCTTTGGCCGAATTAACTATCCTATTATAAAGCGATAATTTATACCTATTAATTAGGGATGCAGCAAAATTCTTTCCGATTCAAAGAATTTTCTATTTGAAGCAATGGGAGGAAAAGCCATTGGATGGACTGGGTGTGTTCACACAATCACACTCCCAACTTCACTTAGAGAAAGGGGTGACTGCCATGACGTCAACATTTCGGTAGGTTAAGTCGTCGGGAGACAAGCTGTCCCCAGATCTTGCCATCGCACAGGTAAAATTTAAACAAACAGATAAATCTTGAAAAGCACTCAAGTCGCAAAAACAAGTGCTTGTAACTGCGCGTCGGTAAGCCATGAAAAAATATTTTAATATTGGCTTCTTAATAATGGTCATATAATCCGAGGACTGGTTAAACTGAGGTCAGATATCAGGGGTGCTACTGTAACACCAAAATCACATAATCCCAAAAGGTTCAGCTACTAATAAGTTCATATTAGTAGGGATTTAACATTTAGAAAGCAGTTCGGAGCTAAGAACATTTCCACTATGTTCAATAACGATTAGTTGAAACCTACTAATGTTGTAACTGAAAGTTCTCCCCTGAGAGACCTGTCCTTGATAAGAACACAGCTTATGGTGGACTCTGAACCCCCTAGTTAAGGTATTACCACCAATATAAAAGCCACTGGTGATTGAAGAGATTTGAACCTGAACCCCAAGAACAGAATGTCCACACTCCAACCAACCAGTAAAGTGAATGTTTTCTAGTAGCACAAAATCATTACTATAAAATGTGCTTTCGACGTTACCATTTACCTACGCCTTTTTGTAGTCATTACGTAACTACTCGTAACAAGGAGTGATGGGTCTATTTAACAGTCGGTGCACGAGATTGTGAGTTTAAAAACACATGATGCAATGATACAGATAAGAGGGGGGCCAGACTACTGATAAACTCCAACATGTTATATCATAGTTTACAATGTACAAAGGTGTCTAATTCATAATGTATAAGAGTGTTTAAAATCCAGAGATCAACATTTATGGATGTAATAGGGCCTACATAATATTTTTTGTAAAAAAATACCAATATACAAAAGGCAAAAAGTATACTTGAATCTGTGAGCTGAACAATAAGCTGCCTGGTGAACAATTTTATAGGCTACCTGTACCATCAAAATGCTTTAAATATCCCCAGGATCAAACCAAAGACTGAGGTACCTTAAAGACACCCAAGTAAATAAGCCAGCAGTGATACATTTGATTTTACCCTTAAAAAAGAATGGTTTAGCTCTGATGACAAATTAATATTAATCCATCAATGATTCATTCAATTACTAATCATGCCTGCATAAAAAATCCAATGAATATTGACCGTTCATTTCAGACTATGAAAAAGCACTTACAGTTTGGTTTATAAATATCTAAACGAATAAAAAAATAATAATTAGGGAAACACAAATGGCATTCAATTTATAATTAATGACCCAGATATGGATGGGGATTTTGAATTTCATAAAACTAAACCCCTTGACAGGACAGATCGTTGAAGCAACAAAATGCAAAGAAATAAAGTTTCCAACATGCAAAGAGGAATGGTTTGAGTGGTAAGAGGTTCATTTAGGAATTGATAGCTTGTACACACAAAACAACATTTAGATTTAACACCTAAAATAGTCCTCAAGTTGGGTTAAATAGAGATATTTTAATCAAACACACGTTTTACAAAGCATGGAGATACTCCAAAATAGGCCAACTTAGGCCTAGGCCTAAAATGTACTATTGCTAGTTTGATAAGGTATCAATATGTATTAATTTGTCCATTATATAGGACAAGTTGAAGATACAATCTCCAGAATAAGCCAACCTCTACTAGATACAGTTAACTGTGAAAATTGGGAGTTACTGACAAAATACTGACTAAACCTTCAAATATTATTTTAAAATACAAAAGAGTATAATAAAGGCTATTAAAAAAAATCTAAAAAGTATCACAGGTTTTTATACAACGAGCAATGTTGACTTAAATAGCCTTAAATTTTAAAAAAAGTCCCAAGTAACATACAACAAAATGTTAAGTGACATTACAAATTGTTACTCATTTAAAATCGTTAACAAATTAAGGTGAAACGCTTTTTACAAAAATAGCAATTGCTAAAGAATTTTTGTTAACTTACCGTGTGTGGTGTCCTTAGTCAATTTTACACCCCCCTGGTCCAATACATCGTTAAAGGCTGGCCAGCCACATCCAGATTCAAATTTAGTTTTAGACGAGAAGAGTGGCTTATCACAAACTACGCAGCTGTAGGTGCCAGCATCTGTGCACTTGTTGTACTTCCCAGTAAACGGTCTGCGGGAACAGATTATTTGTGTTAAATTTTACTATATAGGTCTAAGATTCTATGACACACCAGGGGACGTATATAAAAGCAAAGTTGAGTGTTGAATGCATTAAATGATAGCTTTCCTACATAAAATCAGCTGGTTACTTAGCCCCATACAGGGTGTCACAAAAATCGGTACGGGCATTAGTGATAAAAGGAGGCCTCAGTGCCAAAAACTTGAAGAACGTTGTAGTATTTATGTCCTAGAATAGTAGCTTAAAAGTGATTTTAGAACGTTTAAGCTGAGGTATGGGTCCCAAATAAGTACTTTACCTGAAAACATTGCTGCAAACATTTTTTTGCGGGGAAAAAACTACTCTTTAAAACCCTGATCGTTTTAATTTTGTTACCGTACTGGAATAACTCTTGTCTCTGTCACCATTAGGCCTACTGTGTTTAGTGAATTGAATACTAACACAAACATAAACAATTGAAAGGATTGTCAAGGAAAGAAGAAGAAACCTAAGTCGACAAAACGGTAGAGGCATTTGTAAATGCAGCTGGGCTTTGATTATTGTGAACTAATCAGTTCTAATTTAGACATGTGAGGTAGGTAAGTCGGGTGTTAGGTGGATTCGTGACTATTATTTAAGGGTTTTGAAGTTAGGTTGGATTAGGTTAAAGACTGTTTTTGCACTTTTGAAATAGTAGTTTAAACACAATTAATAATAATTTCAATAATGCAAGCATTTTAACATTTCAAAAGTGCATAAACAGTCTGGAGATAACATGTATTTTCCATCTTAAAAAACCATTTTAAACTGTTCTAGAAGTTTGATTGTGTTATGTTAGGTTAGAACTGTGTCAATTTGTAAGAGCCTAAATCCATTTTTTGTTTAAAGAAGTTTGGTCGTATTAGGCAGTTCTTACCTTCTACTATATTAGCTAGTCTAACATAGACTAACATAGATTAATTATTAATATAACATAGACATGCTCTTATCTCAAAGATCCTTTCGGGCTCAGCCCCAGTGGCTCTGGAGATTCCCATGTTAACTTTATCAGTATTCACATTTAAAATTAATTAAAGTATTTTGCCAGCTGTTTCACCTACACAAAGTTGGTTCTATGATATTCAATAGCATTAAAACGTTAGGGTTTACCAATAGGGTACAGCACTATTATTTTTTTCATTTATGACAAAAGCTAATTTGAACCAAGCAGCAACAAAAAGCTGTGATACACAATGGGAACTGGCAAAATAGGATTGTTTACAGTTAGGCCTATGCTTATTTTTTTTATTTAGCCTATAAAAAATGTGTGATATTGTGCGAATATTTGGTAATTTACTTTTTTCTGTTGTTTAAGTGCAGTGGAAGAACGGCTATGGTAGATGTGTTATACTTTAGCATACCAAATAAAATTTTTTTTTTCTCAAACCGTGTTATCCCTCATTGCAAACACAAATCACGAGTAGGCTAACTGCAATAAGCATTTTATACTTATACGCCAACCGCGTACAAATGACGCTGAATTTTTATTTCAGGATTAATTTTGCCTACAGTGCCATTTGGAGGCTTCTGATTGGCTTAGGGAACACCATTACCGGAACGATACAGTCTGTCGTCATCGGCCTCGGTGGCATAGTGGATAGAGTGCTGGGCTGATGAACGGGAGGGCCGGGTTTGAATCTCTCCGATTGCACTAACTTTTTGTCTAGGATTTTTTCATTATCAGCAAGTTTGGTTGGTTTGGTTAGGTTGTGACCTTTTAATTTTATAACTAAAACATTATAAAATTGAATTTTAGCCATTTATAGTTTTATTTTATGAACAGGACTATTTTTTCGATTAAACCTTCATTTGATTTTTCATTATCAGCAAGTCTGGTTAGTTTGGTTAGGTTATGACAGTTTAATTTCATGATTGAAAAAAATATAAAATTGAATTTGAGGCATTTATAATTTTACTAGCAGAGTACCCGTCCTTCGTACGGGGTTGGCAAATAAGTATAAAATGCTTATTGCAGTTATACTCGATCTTTGCGTTTGCAATGTGAGAAGACACGGTTTGAGAAGATTTGTTTTCATCAAATTTACGGTATGCTATAGTATTACACATCTACCATAGCCATAATGTTCTACCACTTCACCTATTGCAGGGCTTGTAACAGTTCTTGAGGTAAAAAAAAATAACCAAAATTACAAAAAAAATAACCAAAAAATAACCTTCAATAAACCCATAATGTCGCTAAAAATTACAAAAACCGGCATTTTATTGTGATATTAAAAATATGTAGGCAATAAAAATGACATAGGATAATTTTGAACTAGGTAAGTGATTATCTACTAAGGCAATAATAATAAAATACCCCCGCCGCAGCAAACCTGCCGACTAAGCGAATTTCCATTTGTCTGAATTGATTTTCAGTTAAATATATTTTAATAACATTAGGTTTAACGAGTACCTAGGTTTGCTGCTACAAGGAAACTAGTAAAGTGTGTTTTTGAGTAAAATATTGATAGCTTAGTACAAAATAAATAAATTTGCCAAGTTTGATCAAAATATATCCATAAACAAGCAAACTACAACATTTGACAATATTCTCCATAAGAATAACATGGGAATTTTAAATTTAAAATTTTTTTAATTTTATCCGTTACTAATAATCGAATAAAAATACTTTTATATACTAAATTATTTGTTTTTTTAAGCTCTTTAAAAAGGTCTAAAGAGAAATCGGGAAATTTTGTGTTTTGAGGGTCAAAAGTGAGAAAAACCAATTTTTACCCCATAAAACCCCCCGTAAAGCCCCGTTCCCATGGTCCGATCGTGCTGGTTTGCGAACTCATTCAAGTTTATCCCGCTTTACACCTTTAAACCAAATTTCATCAAAATCGGACAAAAATTACTCAAGTTATCGCGTTCACGGACGTATATATATATATACATATATAAAAATTTGAACGAATGGTGTTTTTGGCCTCTGGGGACATCAAAATGAAAAAGTAAATCGGTCCCGGGTCTAGGTCTTACCATGCCACCTACGGTAATAGCTACTTCCCTATAGGGAAATTCGCTAAAAATGAAAAAAATAGAAAAAAATCCTCCCATCATCCCCTTACTTTTTTCCATTTTTTTCCTTTTTAAACATTTATTTAGACAAAAAATATATATTGATACAGTAGGACCTCAATATCTCGAATCTGAAGGGGTTATGATAAAAATTCGAGTTATCAAGTTTTTCAAGTTAGTGAGGTTCGAGTTATGAAGGTTCCATATGAAAAAGTTCGAGATACTGAGGTGTTGGGGTCTGACAGTGATGTTACGTCATGGCCTTTATAACTCGACTTATTCATGTTAAACCTTAATAATCGAACTCAAACTGTATTTATACGTAACTTACTGAAGAGTAACTTTGGAAGCAAAATAAAACAATTTGAATGCACATAAAGTACTGTATTTATTATTTGGCAATAAGTTTGATAAAGTACATAAAAAACATGTTAAATGACAAAAAAAATAGTTTAAATTACTGTACAAAACAATAATACAGTATATATCATCCATACACGGAACTACATTTACTGTGTATAATGTTTGATTAAAGCAAACGTTAGTCAACCTCTTTATATGTACTGTAAAAACAAGCTAGGTACTGTAACAACAAAAATACTGAATAGGTACAATACTGTACATACAAAAAGTATGTAGACTGTAGAGAGTAATATTTAAAGGGAAAATTCTAGTGTGATTAAAATAATAAACAAAATGCATCGTAATGTACCTAGTTAAGTACTGAATCTACTTTGGCAAAACGGGTAAACTACACTGACTACAGTGCCTAGCCAAACAGACACGGGAAGCAAACACGGGAAGTTTGATTTTCACGTCTCGACAGGAATCACAACTGACTTGCACTGTTATGGCAAAACTTCGAATTATTGCTCGAGGCACATTCATGCGAACTTTGACTTATAAAGGTAAACTTCGAGTTACTGAGGCTCGATGACGGGAAAATTCGAGTTATAGAGGTAGAATGTTACTGTTCAAAAGTTGTTAAAATTCGACTTATTGAGGTTAAATATTTAGAAACTTCGACTTATAAAGGTACTTTTAACATTATGATTAATGTGGATTTCAAGGGGATTTAAAAAAAATCGAGATATTGAGGAATTCAAGATATTGAGGTTCGAGTAATTGAGGTTCTACTGTATTGTTAAGTTGGTTAACCAGCCAGAAAATCTACTTAATTCATTCATTACTTGTTGAAACTGGCTAGTTTGACGCTAACTACAATCTGTATAAACGGATTGAATTTCCCCCTCAGTTCAGGTTGACAAGTATCATAAACCAAATAAAACAGGTATTCATTATTTAAACAAATTGTTAATTTTAAATAGCATAACAATATGTACACATACAAATATGTATAAAGTCACAGGTCTTAAATACAGAATCAAATGTACAAAGACAAGAATATAAATCTATGTTCATTTTGGTTTATGTTACTAATCCTACCCCTCTTCATTGGGGGCATTTCAAGAGTTTTAAAAGTTTTACGAGCTTCATCAAAATTGATCAATAAATTTGCCCTAAAAAATATAAAAAATAACCAAAATCCCCCAAAAAATAAAAAAAAATAACCAAATTTAAAAAAATAACAAAAATAACCAAACGCAAAAAATAACAAAAAATCAAAAAAATAACCTGTTACAAGCCCTGCTATTGAGAAAGATAGATTATTAAAAATTCGCAAAATATCACAAATTATTCCTGAAATTAAAAACATAAACACAACTGTAAACAATCCTACATTGACAGTTCTCATTGCGTATCACAGTTTTTTGTTGCTGCTTTGTTCAAATTAGCTGTTTTCATAAATAATAAAAAAAATAATGCACCCTGTTGGTAAATCTTGTAAATTTTTAATGCTTTTGCATATCATAGAACCAACTGACTCTTTTAGTTGAAACGGCTGGCTAAATTCTTTAATTCCCTTTAAACATGAATACTCATAAGGTTAATATAGGGAACTGCAGAGCCACTGGGGCGGAGCCCGAAAGGATTTTTGAGCTAAGAATATGCCTATATGTTAATCGGGAATGTGAACTATCATGATGCCAAATTTCAGCCCAATCTGACCAGTATTTTTCGTGTTTACTTGTCACAAACATACATCCATACATCCAAACTTTCTCTAATATTATAAGTAGTAGGATTTAATGAACAGAACTAATTTTTCGATTAGTAAACCTTCAATAGTCAATCAGAAGCCTCCAAATGACACTGTTGGCAAAATTAATCCTGAAAAACAAATCGTGCATGAAGGACGGGTACTCTGCTAATGGGACATAAAGGTTACATTGTGAAAACCTATGCTAAGTAAGCCACTCAGTGAAGTAAAGAGAAGAAGAATACAAAATTTATTCTTCATTTTTCAGATTTTTCCAGTCCAGGAATGAATCTTGTCCGACCAAGAGGTGTTTAAATGAATCTTAATTTTGATCAAATGTTTTGCATCTAGCCTATAGGTACGGTAGGTTACTTAACATTTTTAACTGTTAAATTGTGGGTTGTTTATGTAATTTACCTACTTTAAAATTAGGCTAGCCTACAATAAATCAATAAAAGTGACTTGGGCAATTAACTCTTATTTTAGTGTGTTCCAAATATGGAAGTGCAGATCAAAGTTTCTAAAACAAAATTTGTAAAAATTTAAATGATTCCCTGTTGTGTGAGTAGCCTCCTCTGCAGAAAAATGTTTTCAGGTAAAAATCTAGTTTCTAATGATAGGCTTTATAAATAGGCTAACTAATATGTTCCCATGGTCACCTTAATATGCATAATAATTTACCGAAATTACTTTAAAATCATAACTTATGTCTCTGTAATCAAAGAATAAAGAATAGGCCTACCTTTTAAGCCGTGTTTACATCGGAGTTAGGAACACGTGTTTACAACTAATGTTTCTAAAAAACCAAGAAACGCTACTTTTGGGACAGAAACATTTGATGTTAGAAACAGTTTTTTTTTTTTTTTTTGTGTTTACAACAGAGTTTGTGTTTGCCACCAGAAGTCGGTAAAGATCAATGGGCGTTTCAAACATAAGGAAACATTTGTTTTGGAACAAATTATTCTGTACTTCTGTGATGTTTGGGCTGCACTTTAGTTTACGACCTACACTCATTCGAAAGAAAAATATCGATATAGGCTACCAATAGATTATTCAATATATCGATTATTTCATTCGGTTAGTTAGGTTAGGTTTCAACCTAACTTACCAAACTTGATATATCGAATGAAATCATCAATATATTGATCGATATAACTTATTCATTCCAATGAGTGTAGGACGTAAACTACATTGCAGCCCCTATTTACAACACTTCCCCGCGCCTACCCACCACCACGTGACTATCTCGAGAGGGCCTGATCTGTGTTCTTGGGACCTGTGATTCAATTGTTTCCAACAAAATCAAAGAATAGGTAGTACACTATCTGTTGTAAACTTTTGTTTGAGAAACAAGTGTTAGGCATACCTACAAAAAGTTCCAAACATTTTGTTACAAACTCCTGTGTAAACGCGGCTTTACCTAAGCAAAAAGGGGGTAAACAACTAACTTAAATAGTCACTTATAGCATAGCCTACAGATCAATTGATAGGCTATATATTTAATTGACCAGCTAGACACATTGACACACCTTATTCTCTTTGATAACTATAAAAGTGGATAGGGTAATGCTAATTAAAAGTACATTCTGTTTATTTTACCTTTCTGTTCCTTTTTCTTGGGTGACATGATACTGAATTGGAGTCAATTTCTTCTTCAAATCGCCCTTCTTATCTTCTGAGTCTGACATATTTGAACACTTCCGAATTAAACTGCTCTCAAAGGACTTATTTTGTCCTTTACCCTTGACAAACAATTGACTTGGATTAGACAACAATGTATGCAAGCAACTCGAAGGCCTATCGAGTCTATGGTGTAATGAACTTAAATCCCTCAATTTATATGTAGGCCAACTCAATTTACCATTCACAACAAACCTAGAGCTTAAAATTGGTATTGCATTTATGTATTTAAACATAACTTCGGGCAGAAAACTTAAATAGTTTTAAAAGACAGGTGAATTCTTATATAAAAGATAGTGTCATTGCCTAAGCTTACCTTTCTTTCTGACACCAACCACTGGAACGGGACGGAATAAATTGTGAAATGGGAATGGGAGAGTGAAAGGGATGTATTGAAATGAAAACCACGGCCACAGCTGTCAAAGTCAAAATATCGACTGCTTCTGCCGAATGCCGACTGCACTGCAACCAAAATAGTGCTTGCTCTTGCTACTGCTAGCTAGCAGACTGTTGGGAGAAGAAGGAATGGGAATGGTTCGAGACAGGGACAGGGCCATTGAGCAAAGTTTCATTACTAACACAAAATGCAATCTGTGATATAACGAGTAACGACACGGATTATTATTTATTTATTCTTCCAACGGATGATACGTCTATACCGTTTAGTATAATAAAGATAATTTATTTAATAAATAGCATCCTTTCTTGATTCAACAAACAAGCTGACGCTGGAACGGCCAGAAAAGATAACCAAAAACAATATAGGCTAAACAAAAAAATTCTGATTAATACTAAACAATAATTTTTATCAAGAATCTTTATTGCATTTGATCCAAAAATATAGACATTGGCATATTCTTATCTTAATCAGTAAGAGTATAGTATAAATTATTTCTTAGGGTTTATATTGATGTTCTCAATGTCACAATGGAAATTTTCTTTAGAATGATTATATCCTATTTGAATCTGTTCCACTATAGCTCTTACTACAATGCAGCTGGATGTCCGTCACCACATGCAACATTCACAATATCAGATTAAGATGAAATTACAACACCCAACCAAGCAGACTAAACAAAAACAAACAGAACCCCCAACGCAATCCTCAATGGGAGCAAAACTAAACTCTACAACTTTACTGCCACAATATCTCAATTCTCAAAACAATAAATAACACAAAAATTCACCCAGGCACTAAAAAGGTATATCCTTTAAAAACCGTACTACACATGTAAGAATTATATGAAGACCACAACTACCACACAGTATCTCCTGTCTCTACGACTGCAATGCAAAGGAGTAATGTAAATGTAAAATGGCACAATAATAGCACACTATAAGACCGAGAAACGATCAACAAGTTAAAAAACAAAAAAACAAATGAGCATTGATCAGACTCCACCAACTACATAAAATCAACAGTATTAAAATTACAACAAATATTTTACTCTGAAACATAATCACAATAAAATTCATACTGTACATTTCCAATTCTATACTTGGAGGACGTTTAATTGATTTGTATAGTATATGGTCTACGTCTAATCATAAATTGGGTTAGAAATAAAATTGAAAAATAAAAATTAAATAAAATGGGTCGCCATCGTGGTTTTGCCACGATTACCCACCATCTAGGTGTTTCGGTAAAAGGTGACAATCCACCACCAAGAATTGACGTGAACTTGTGTCTTAGTGCCACCCCAACAGTGTGCCACCACAATAGTTGTCGTGCATGCTCCCAACACCATCCCGACATCTCGCCACCGCAACAACCTCCAACCACTCGTCAAGGGTGGGTTCCATAATATCGACAACCATAGAAATTGATCGAAACTGAATTATTCCCAGTTTGTCGACACTGGAATATTCCCACTTAACCGACATCCCAAATAACCGACGTCGCTAATGATCGACACCACAAATTGTCGACATCCCATATTGTCGACAATGAAATAGTTTCACTATGTCGACACTGAAATAGTCCCAGTATATCGACAAGCTCCCGTTCTTCGGAGCTACTCTTGAAAAGGAGTTGTTCTAATTCATCGTTCAGTTCCTCAACTCACGAGTCGCAATATTTGATTCCGAATTCCGACGGACATCTTCAAGCTGGCCATTTATTTATTGACTAAGACTAAAAACTTTTAAGTAGCCTATATTGTAAATATTTATCTTTTTTATTTCTTTACTTTTTTACAAGAAAATAGATGACTCGAGTGTTACAAACAATAGTTTTCAAGGAATAATGTGAAATAAGTTAATTTTTATAGGATAAAAAACTTAATCAACATGATAACTTCATAACATTAGTCCTACCAGACACTAACTTCGGTAAGTCACCAACAAGAACCTAAGATACAGCTAATTCGTAGGCTAATTCTGGATCATCAAACAATATTGTAGCAAATGTTTGAATAGGCATTATCCCTAGGCTATTAGGATAGTCTCTTTTTCCCACTGACTCAGTGTCAACTTTAAGAATTTGTTTGGTACTTCAGTATTAAACGGAGGCCACATTTTGTCAGCGCGCTGCGGCGGTTATGTTAGGTTGGGTTATCGTAAATGTTATGTGTGTAGGACTTTCCTCGCTTCGTTATGAATCGAACGATACTTTCTATTATGATAACCCAACCTAACATAACCGCCGCAGCGCGCTGACAAAATGTGGCCTCCGTTTAATACTGAAGTACCATTTGTTTATGTAACAAAACTTGCTGATGGCAAAAAAATTGCATGAAGGTTTAGGCCTACTAATCGAATCGATAGTTTCAATCTATATTAGCATAGCCCAGTTAAGAAACTGTACCCGTATTTTGAATATTTCATTCCTTTAGTTAGGTTAGGTTTTACCCTAACTAACCAAACTTAATATTAGGCCTAGGGGCTTTACTTTACGTCCTACACTCATTTGAATGAAAATATCGTTCGATATATCGATTAATCGTTTGTATCATTCGATATATGGTTTGGTAAGTTAGGTAAGGTTAACCTAACGTACCGGTAGGCCTAACTAACGAAACGGTATATCGAATGAAACAATCGAACAATCGATAGTTTCATTCGAATGAGTGTAGGACGTAAAGTAAAGTGCAGCCGGCCTAGGCCTAAGTTTATCAAATGAAATAATCAATATGACTGGGACGGGTGGCGCTGTCCTGTAATCCAGCTACTAGGAGGTCACGAATTGTGGATATTTATAGGCATGCACTGTGGATTCGACACTCCCTGGTGTGGATGAACGTCCACACGAGTGAATACTTACTACGACTCTCCCCAGTACTATCCTGATAATTAGACCAATTCGTATAGTAGGCCTATACCAAGGCAATAATGTGGTTCAGATTCCACTATAAACTGTATGTCCCTAAAGGCCCGTTCACACGGGGCGAGTTTACAAGCTACACGCCAGCGTGTAAGAAGCCGGCGAGTTGGCAAGTGTGCTTGTGTTTGTTCACACGGAGCTTGCCAACTCGCAGACGTGTAGAAAGACGTTGGCGAGTGCGCTTGTAGTCGTTCACACGATGCTTTTTCCACTCGCTCAGTAGCTGGCTTGAACCAAATCCTCCAACATCTTTGAGTAACAAGCGCACACGCACAAGCAACTGTGTTCACACTGGGCTACTTTACACGCCTACTCGCGCAAAAGCTGGCGAGTTGGCGTGTAAAGTAGCGGCACCGTCAACTTTTTCCAGAGCTTTTTTACAAGCAGCTTTTGAGCGAGTACGTCGTTCACACTGAGCTATTTTACTAGCTGCGTGTAAAAAAGCCGGCGTGTAGCTTGTAAACTCGCCCCGTGTGAACGGGGCTTTAGTTGCCATTAGCTGTTTGGGCTATTAATTAACAGTTGTGTCTAAGGAATGTCGGTCTTAGTCACTAACAAGACTACAGGATCGCTCCACTCATCCTACACTCATCTCCATGATTCATCCTACACTCATCTCCATTCATACTTGGCTTAAAATACCTACTTTGTATGGTCGTCAAGTAATAAGAAAGAAAGTAGGCCTATTAAAGAAATACCTTCATTGGAATGAGTGTAGGACGTAAACTTAAGTGCTGTCAAATATTCTAGAGCTGACTTGGATTATATCATTCATTGCTGATGACTTCAATGGTAATTTTATAGATGATCCTGGAGCAAAGGCTGTAATTTGACCTGAACCCAAATTGGTCTTTATTTTAAATATTGTAAGTTAAGAGGACTGACCTTTCTGGACGACATTGCAATCGACATCACTGCAGATGAGAGAGAGACCAGAGTTGTGTACTCTGGAGGCAATTGCCATACTGCTGTGATAATGTTCCTTGGTCTAACCATAACTTAAGTGAGGTGAGTCAATATTCTTCCCCTTTTGGGATAGATTCTAGGCTATGTTTGAAGTTATTCAATGTTCAAAGCGGTACTGTGGTAAGTATTATCCGGAGGCTACAGATATGCGCTTTGCGGCGGTTATGTTAGGTTGGGTTATCATAAATGGAAAGAACATTTTTATGTCCTAGGCCTACTGTCCATATTTGGGTTTATTCTTAACTGTACAATAGGCTATCTTTTGTTTAAATCTTTTGCTTTTATAAATTTATTTTATGGACAGAATTTAACCTTCATTCAATTTTTTCAATTATCAGCAAGTTTGGTTGGTTAGGTTAGGTTATGACGGTAGCTGCCGGATGCCTAATCCACGTCCGGTTACCGGGCCCGTATCCTCTGCGTAGTTTTTTATGTACTGAATCAAAATAGACCACTATTTTTCACTGCAGATGAATATTACGGAAACGGAATAAATCGCTGCTCAAAATGTTTGAATATTCAAGGTAGGGTGGATGACATTAACAAGTGGAATGAACTGTGGGTGAAGTAACTTAAGCCTACAGCTGATTGTTTTCAACACCAAGCCATTGGAAGTGACAACTTTATTTACTAAATATGATTCTGTCTTCGCTCATAGGCCTATTGACATCACATCGATTGGCCCCGATTAATATTAATGACTGATCATATTTCTCAGCGTTCCAATGCTCTAAGTCATAGCCTCCTCTACGTATTTTATAGGCCTGCCTAATGCCTACAATTGACTAAATTCTTTACCCTAGGGGAGCGAGCAGAACTTCAGTACCGGGCTGGGGCTCAAATTCTGCCAGATGACCAATGTATTTCATTATTTATTTTTATATTATTTTTTGTCTGAATACCACAGCCCTAGACCTAGGCTGAAGTGTGAAATGTGAATTAAAATTCCGGACTAGTGCCTGTAGCGTCCTAGGACAAAAAAAAGTGTGTATACAGTTATCACATTAGTTATAAACTAATAACTAGGCAGCATTAGCGCAAAATTACACATTTTAACATGATAACAGTAATAATAAAAAGGTTGTTTAAGTCAGTCATTCACAGTTTTCAAAATGAAGCGCATGTGAATTATTTTTCCAACTGTCACCTGACAAAGTGGCCTTCCTTGTACTTATTATAGCACAGAAAGTTGCTAATTGCTGCATTTACTTACTTTTACCGCACTCATTTTTTGCCGCACTCCAGTATTCCAACTAAACAACACAAAACAGCCTGGTTTTATTAAACTAGACACGTAATACATACGTACACTTGAAAATAAGTTGGCTACCCATTTAAGATATTACGACTAGATATTATACTAGATGTTAGGATCAACTGGTACAGCTTACCATTTCACCAATGTTTGGCTTTAACCTAACCTAAAAACGTGTTGAACCGAGTTTGAAAGACTAATTATTTATATGTTTTATAATAACTGTAAGAAAAATATAATTTTCCTACAGTCAACCGACAAAGTTGGCTTCCTTGTACTGTTTATAGTACAGAAAGCTGCTTATTTATAATTTGCCGTACGGTTTATACTTAGCCGCACATCAGGATTCCAACGAAACAACACAAAACAGCGTGGTTCTATTATGCACGTAATCCGTGTACGCTTGGAAATAGGTTGGCAACACTTAAAGATTAAAATACTATGAGCAGCTGATTGACTATTATAACTACGATTTAACCTGTAATTTCGTGTTTATAGTTTCGGTATTTCTGAACTTTCTGGACTTTACTTTTAAACGTTTTTAAAACATTCCTACGATCTTAATAAACAAGAAAATACCTTTAAAGCATTTTTTTAGGCGCGGAAACCACTTCAAATTACAAAAACATACGGAACTATATTCTCAAGTCGCGGAGCACATTTCTTGCCGAGGAAAAATAGCGGAGTGATACGGACCAGGTACTACTTTCTCTAGGGCACCTATTTGTGTTGCCAGCTGAACCTAAAAACGTGTTGTATAGTGTTTGAAAGACTAATTATTTATTTATATGCTTTATAGTGACTGTAGGAAAAATATAATGCGTAACACGAGTGCAAAAGGCCTTTGCTGCACTTGAGATCATTCCGCACGAGCCGCAGGCGAGTGCGTAAACGTTGCTCTCGTGTGCAGCAAAGTGCCACTTTGCCCACTAGTTACACAAATAAAATAACTATTGTAACACAAGTGCAAACTGCTTTTGCTGCACTCGAGATACTTTCCACACTCGCCTACGGCTCGTTCGTTTAAACATTTCTCTCATGTGTAGCAAAGTGCCACTTTGCCCACTAGTTACAATAGTTTTTGGTGGAACATGAGGATAATTTATAATCTGTATGCAAATTTTTAGTTTTTATAACAATTTAAAACTAGGCCCCTACTTAAAATTTATTTGGATTACATCTCGAAACATGTTGTTTGGAAATGTCTTAATTAGGCTACCGGTATAGCTTGCATTTTTCCAAATTGGGAAATAACAATTAATTAATGTTTGAAGCAATTTATTTTGTCCAAACCAAATTATTGATAAAAGTTCTAACATTTATATTAACTTGACCCAGATTGCCAAAAATTTCATCTATTAGCTGTACCTATTTGAATATCGCAAATCTAGAAAGGAGTGTACACTCTTGTATTATTTGTTAGACTAAAATTATTTGTATAACACTATTTTTTATTTTTTGCAATATTTCTGTACAGAGCTGTAGCCTACCAGTAGAATGGGGGCGTTGTAATTAATATCCTCCGACATTGGAGGGTACAGGGGAGAGGTGCCAGAGGAAGAGGAGATGGAGGATGGGGCGAAGTAAAGACGAAGATTGAAGAGAGCTAACTTATGGTAAGTTTTGCCATTTCCTCAAATTTAATACTTATAAATCCAGGGCCGTGTCCTGAAACCTATGTCGCATAACCCTCCTGAATTCCTAGTGTATCGAACATTTTAACTGGAGAGGTGCCCAAAATTTGCTTTTGATTTTTAGGAAATGTAGGCTATATTTTTTGACAACATAATTATTCTGAATATGTCATAGTGTTTACATTTGGTAAGTACTGAAACAAAAATTATTTTAAGAGAAATGGAAAAGCGTTGTCAACAGAAGCAGTTGAAAGGAGTAGTAAAATTCTGATAGATCAATAAGGTATTTAGTACGAGCGTGCTTCAATTTATCTTATCTTAAAGTTAACTCCAACCTCCTTCAAATGCTGTTCAAATAAATAGTACCCTACAAACTTGAAAAGCCTTAAAAATACTCTTCTGTTTCATTGATGATCATTTGACATAAAATGTTGTCCACCAAGCCAATTTGTTATCTTAAGAAATAAAAAAGGTCATTCAGGGCGGTTGACAAACAAAATTATTTTACGGTTTTCTTTGCCGCCCTGTCAAGCCAGTGTGTGGCGGAGGGTGGTGGGAATAGGGTTGTTACAAAGCCAACGTGTGAACAATTTTTAGTAGCCATGGAGCTGTGGACAGCTGAGCACCATGTATTTTTGTAGTGGAAGTGTTTTTAAAAGTTGCTATACCTGTGTAGCTTTACAGTAGATGTTTCAATGTGAATCAAAGAAGAAAAGTCCCAACTCGCAACATCATTTTGGGTAGCAACTTTAGAGCTACTAGTTCAGCATTGAAACTAAAATCAATAGGCCATCCAAGGTCAGCCCAGATACTAGAGAACTTCAAGAGAGTGAGGGAGAAAGACTATGTGTTGTGGTTGAAAGTGTGATTCGTCGCTCATAACGCAATTTTGTCACATGTAATCAAATCAATCACTGGTTCTGAAAATGAGATGCACTTTGCTTAGCCACTGGGCTTCAACTGTTGCACTATTGCCGTTTTGTATCAATAAAAAGTGCAGGTCATATCATAAAATTCTTCTACTGAGTGGCCAGACATGTGCACAGCTACAGCTTATCCAAGTGCAGACCCACAGCAAAATGTTGTTTCAAGTTGGGACTTTTCCCCTTGGACCCATGTTGAAACGTGTACGGGACTACCCCTGAACAGCTACACCGGAATTGCCACTTTTAAAAAACACTTGCACTACAATTGCATGGTGCTCAGCTGTCCACAGCTCCATGGCAACTATAAGTGTCTGCACGTAGGCCTTAAAGCGCCCCTATCCCCACCACCCTCCGCCAGTCGTCACAGGGCGGCGAAGAAAACTATCAGATAATTTTGCCACACTCTGTACATTATATTTTGTCCTATACAAAATGGGTTGTATGGGTGTCTGCACTTATATATTGAAACAAACGACTACTGCATTTGTGGCAAAATTAAACGATATTGTCCTCGGTAATGACCAAATCGTGAGCGTCTTCCGTGTCTGCAGGGTCATCATCTTCGTCTTCCACAGTCGCCAGTGGTTATAATCGTGGGCATCCTCGGAGCAATCGTGAACATCTTTCGCGGTTGCGAGGCCTGATTATCATCACCCGCGATCGCTGGTAGTCGTAAATTTTGATCACGCAATCTTTGCAGACGCTTTCGCCTATCATGAGAATACAAGTTAAACTTGGATTATTGTACCCCCTAATTCTAACAGATTGTGGGAAAATTTATTTTCCAAGAGAAAAAAAAGCATTCTTTTGAGGCCGCAAGTGAGTCCCCTTCCCAGGCCGAAGCCCTCGGAAATCACAGTGTCCGCCGTTAGGGGAATACGGCCCTGATATTTGGAGACCTATGTTGGTGTGGGGCCTGGTGCGAACCGCCCCCCCCCCCCTCAGTACGCCACTGAGCACATTAAATAACAATAAAAGTATGCATAAAAAGACTAAACTTGTTCAGAATACAGTTTTTTGTATTAATTTTTGTTCTGTTTTCCAGGCCTGATGACAGGGTAGAAGGCGATGGAGGCATGGTGGTTGGGGGAGAGGAGGCTGAAGAAGTGGAGACAAATCAGTTTAGATTCATTATGTTGATTAGTTTAATATTTATTTGGAATATCAGTATACTTTTATTTAAATTTTTTTCTCATTTTATTTTTTTCTCATTTAGATTATTAAACTAAGATCATTTTATTGTTTTTATGAAAATGTTTTCTTAAATTTTTAATATTTGTTTGTACTTCTGCCTGGTAAAAAAATACTGTTTTTTTTAGTATGTTTGTTAAAATTATTACTTTCACTAACTGACCTTGTCTTGGGTGAAAAGAGATATCTTGATATTTAACTAGCAGGGTGCCTGTTCTATAGGCGGGGATCGTATAAGTCAGTTGAAACCTTCTTATATTTTGATAAGTTGTAAATTAATCATTTTCAACTTTATATAGTGTAGATCGCTACTCCTGTATTGATGTACTGAAATGAATAAAATTATATGAAATGAAATGTTGTTAGCGAATTTCCCATTTACTGTAGTACTAATAGTAAGACCTGGACCCGGGACCGATTTAATTTTTCGTTTTGAGGGCCCTAGAGGTCAAAAACACCATCCGTTAAAATTCATATATATATATATATATTTATGAAAAAACAGTTCATATTTATTTATTTTGTTCATTTTTACATTTTTCATTAATTTCTCTGTGCTTGAAAACATTTGTATTAAAAGAAAATTTGCAATGTTTCATGTTTCATTTATCATAAACTCTATCAAGATCTCCTCAAGAATAATATATATTTGTATATATGTGTCCGTTAGGGTGATAACTCGAGCAAAAATGGTCCGATTTTGATGAAACTTGGTAGAAACGTGTAAACCTACATTTATTCAAACGAGTTCGCGAACAAGCATAATCGGACAATGGGAACAGGGGTTTATGGGGTAAAAATTGGTTTCACCTATTTTTTATTCTCAAAACAAAAAGTTTGCAATTTATTTTTTAACCGTTTTGTAGAGCTTAAAAAAAAGAAATAATTTAGTATATTGAAGCGCTGTCGTATGCCTAACGGTCACGGAAAAAATTCAAAAATATTTTAATTTAAAATTCCCTTGTTATTCTAATGGAGAAAATTAAAACTGTTGTAGTTTACTTGTTTGTAGATATATGTTGATAAAATTTGGCTAATTTATTTATTTCATCTTATACTATTGACGTATGGTCAAAAAACACTTTTTACCTTCCCCGTAGCAGCAAATCTAGTAGGGTGAAAACCTAAAGGGTAGGTAAGGTGTAGGTGTTTACATATTTCCAGCATGAAGAGCCATTTTGAACAATATTTTTGAAGATTTTCAATGTTTTTTCGTGTGTCTGATTAACATGGATATGGATGTCACTGAAAGAGCCACCCTGGAAAATATACCACACAAACTGACCTTGTGAAAATAGGGTCAGGAAAGTAAAAACCTGTCATTGTTAGTGTCAGCCCGGTTTTCTGGCTAGTCAAACTAGCCTATAACTGAATAAGTTACACTCACTTACCATGGTTGGAATATACAGGCAAATCTCAATCATTCTTAATACTTATTTTAATAGACATCTCTTGTGTTTGCATTGAACAGTGTGGCAGAACAAAAACCAATGCAAACATCTATAATGAGAATCATAATTATAATTACTAGTGTACCTGTTGCTGGAATTCGAGCAATTGCGGAGCATTGCAGGCGACTCAAAGATTATGGAAATACTTACGATCTACACAACAGTTAGATATCAAAATCTTTTGTAAATATCTTATCTTTTTTCAAAAAGCTACTCTTGTTTTTTTAATGTTTTTAGTGTAAACAAAATTTCTATTTCTTTTACCTGGATGTGTTCTATGACTTTTTCTATGTTTCCATTGTTTGCCAATCGGTTACCTATATCAATGATTGCTCAAGAAATGTAGCACAGTGTTAATTCAGTTTTATTTTTAGCTTATATCAAATTGTCCAGGATTTCTCGCTCTTTTCCATTGTAATAATTTTTACCAATCCAAGTTTCGTCTACAGATGCAATTGCCAAAGAATATCACCTAGGTACGTACAATCTCCAAGAAGTGGTAAAAAAGGCAGAAACCAACCCATACAATAGATATAAGTTAACTCCATAAGTGATATTAGGATTTTCCACTGATTTGGTAATAGAACATTATATTGCAAAACATAACACGATGCAGAAGAAAATCAATTTTAAAATCAGAAAAATCCATTACAAATGCTGTACTTTATTTTGACAAATTCAATAAATCACAATTTAAATATTAACAGCTGTTGCATTAAAAATGCATATGGTCGTAATGTAAACAAATCTGAAGAGGGAACTTTAAAGGCCTCTGGGGCAGAGCCCCAAGGGAATTTACCTTGTTTCTCTTTTGATGGCTCATCTACAGACCAAGACCTTTCTTTAGAGACCCCTACCAAGTTTCTACGCCCAGCCGTTCTCTCAAATTAGCTGCGACAAAAACCCCGTTTTTCCTCCATAAGAATAACATGGGATGGGAAATTTAAGGCCACTGGGGCAGAGCCCCAAGGGAATTCACCCTGTTTCTCTTTTGATGGCTCATCTACAGACCAAGACCTTTCTTTAGACACCCCTACCGATTTTCTACGCCCAGCCGTTCTCTCAAAATAGCTGTCACAAAGAAAAACAGTTTCAAATTAATATATAGATTATTAATAATTATTAATTCAGTAAAAGAGTAAACAAACAAACAATAAATCTTCATAAATAAAATTAGAGTTTTGTACATTGCTCAGAATTATATATTAAAACGTTTTTATTAGCTCGATTTCTAGTCCTGTATAAATTTTGCAATCAATTTTATACTAAGTTCCCGAAGAGCTAGAGACTTGAAACTTGAATCATAGCTCACAAATGGATGACAATGCAATATTATATAATTTAATTTAATTTTCATATTTCCCTTGGGCTATGCCCTGCCAGATTCTTCAGTTAATACAGATTCCGAATATATAACTTTAATTGCAGTCAACCTATTGTATGCACGGCCAGGAGGTTATTAACAACCGCGTGCACGGCTTGAGGAACTGACATATCTGCGTCGAGTCCCCCTTTGTGGTGGGGGAAGGTTGCTGAAACGGCGCGCTTTTTATCCCAAATCTCCTATCTACCCGGTGTTCCAGTTGTGTTATATAGTTCGACTAGCTGTACCCGCAGGCTTAGCCCCGTTTAACTTCTTAATTTTCAAGATGAGCTCGTTCGCATGGCTCAATCACGTCCTGGTTGAAGTTCGTTCGCTACGCTCACTCACTTTAAGGTTGGAGCTCGTTCACTGCGCTCACTTGCCTTCAGGTTAGCTCGTTCGCTACGGTAACTCGCCTCCAGGTTGAAGTTCGTTCGCTACGCTCACTCACCTTTTGGTTGCAAATTAGCTGTTGTCATAAATGTAAGAGATAATAGTGCTGCACCCTGTTGGTAATCCTTGTAACTTTAATGCTATTGAACATCATAGAACAGAACCAACTTGTTTAATTGAAACAGCTGTTAAGATTCATTAATTCCATTTAAATATGAGTACTCATAAGGTTAACATGGGAAACTCCAGAGCCACTGGGGCGGAGCCCGAGAGTCAGATCAGAATAAAAACAACTTAGTTTTCCTATATAATGCCTAAAGAATCAGTGTACCAAATTTCAGCCTCCTAGGTAAATGGGAAGTAAGAGAATTAGTGATGAGTGAGTGAGTGAGTCAGTCAGTCAGTGAGGGCTTTGCCTTTTATAAATATAGATGTATTTGACACATAAACAAAAACATATGATCAGCTGTTGACTTTTGAATGCAGTAGATAAAGAAATAGCTGATAGCAAATCCACAGATATTAGAACAGAAACGGTATGAATCGTAAATATAATCAAATGACGACACTAGCTTGAGGTCCGTGACGTAGGAAGTGGTGAAGGAAGTAGTAATGGTGAGCAGTCTGGAGTCTGGAAACTGTTTATGACGATTAGATTTAGGTATCTGCATTCCTAAAATTCTATGGGAAGGGAGGAAAACAGGTCCGCGATGTATAGGAAGTGGTGAAGGAAGTAGTCAAGGCGAGCTGTCCGGAGTGTGGGAACTGTTTATGACGATTATATTAAGGTATCTGCAATCCTAAAAATGCTTTTGGAAGGGAAGGAAACTGGTCCGCGACGTATGAAGTGGTGAAGGAAGTAGTAAAAGCGAGCTGTTCGGGGTATGGGATCTGTTTATGACCATTAGATTAAGGTATTTGCAATCCTAAAATGCTATGGGAAGGGAAGGAAACAGGTCCGTGACGTAGGAAGTGGTGAAGGAAGTAGTAAAGGCGAGCTGTTCGGGGTATGGGAACTGTTTATGACGATTAATTAGATTAAGGTATCTACAATCTTAAAATTCTATGGGAAGATAGGGAAACAAGTCCACAACGTAAGAAGAGGTGAAGGAAGTAGTAAGGTGTGGAGTGTGGGAACTGGAAACCATTTGTAGCAGTTAGATTAATGTATCTGCAATGCTGAAATGTTATGAGAAGGGATGGAAGCATGCCCACGACATAGAAAATGGCGAAAGAAGTAGTAAAGGCTAGCAGTGCAGAGTGTGTGTTTGTGGCAATTAGATTAACGTATCTAAAATCCTAAAATGCTATGGGATTGGGAAGAGAGGGAAACAGGTCCACGACGTAGGGGGTGGTGAAGGAAGTAGTAAAGGCGAGCAGTGTTGAATGTGGGAATGGATCAATGTATCTGCAATGCTAAAATGCTATGGGAAAGAGACTGTAGACTGTAGGTCAAAATGGTTATAAAGCACGAATCGATACATATTTCGATACATGCAATCGTTTGTAATAGACATTTACAGCTGAGTTGACAACAGCTGATTTTTACTCCATTGAGGCTAAAAACGATTTTTACTCCCTAAAGAGTAAAAATGCTACTTTAGACCAGCAAGGCATGCATTAAAAACAACTGTTTTTACTGCAGTATGACAAAAACAATATAATATGAGCCCTTGATGACTCTGCTCAATTTTGTGGATGCCTCTGCTAACGCCACCTAGTTATTATAACTAACAGTATAATTGAAGGATTGTTTGGAGAGATTTAGATTATTCCAGAC